AAAATATTCACAAAAACATGAGAAAATGTATAGCTTCTAAGATAGGTAACAGATTAAAACTACATATTACAATAAACTTTAAGATCATATCTATTTTCTCTTGAAAATAGTTTAACAAACAGTTTTTCTCCCCAATTTAAACTGGAGGATGCAACATACATTAATATTATGTGCCAAAGAGCTGAATGAAATTTCATAGAAATCCTATATTAAGGTCAATGTTGGGGGTGACAACTATTTTTTGGTATTTAGATTTGCCATTTGGGAAACAATTTTAAAAACTCTGAACTTAGATCACTGTAAAAAAAGGTTATATAGCTCAAATTTTAATCATGTGTGCAGACTACTTCACAGATTCCCATGCTACTTAGAGGCTTGTATATCCAACCCTTAGAAGGGAATTGCTATTGAAATGATTTACACTCTTCAAACTGAAAACTTAATTTAATACAATTCAAAGTAAAACACACTTTACAAAGAAAATACATCATCACAGAAATCTTGAATTCACTTTATTATTATAGATTATTAATTTATTGTATACTTATGGCCCATTTTTCCCAACAAAAAGCACAAAGTTTCTGTTTTATCTGGTTATCAATACAAATTCCATACATGCTATCTGAATTTTAATTCTTCTGAAGACTACTCTATGAAAATTTTTTGGAGTATCAACTCTACCTATCACTTCTAAAAGTGGCAGATTATTTTAAAACTTGAAAATAAGCGCCCAACAGAAAAAGACTGATAAGTAAATTATCACACAGATACACAGGTGAGATACCATGTAGCTAATAAAAATAATCATGTAGTAGAAACATACTGACATAAAAATGTTGGTTATTTACTATTAAGTGAATAGAACAGTATGCACTACAGTAGTTGCATTATGAGCCCCTAAAGTCATGTATCTGTAAGTCTACACAGACTTATGTAATGGCTAACAAAATACAGGAAGAAGATATTCCAGAAAATTAACAACAGCATCTCTTGGTGGTAAGATTTCCAATGATAGCTTAAAAATTTAATCTGTGCTTTTTTAGTGTTTCCCACATTTTTGATATTAGGGATGTGCTATTTTTATAACTGGGGGGAAGAGATTAAGAAAGAAATAAAGTCAACTATTTACATTAAACCATATTTTAACACAAATGATAAAGTCTTATCTAGGCACATGGTTTAACCCTCATTGATTGGTACAACCCCTATTTATGTTTTAAAAATAAAAAAATACAAAAATATTGGAACATGAATCAATCTGTAGTTTCATTTTCCACTATTTGAGATGAGAATTAAAAATGTAAGTACTGAATGTGAACTCTTTGAAAAAGATGAAAATGTTTGCCTTAATATGTCATTATTAACATAGATACAAAAAGATTTCTGAAAAACAAAAAGTAAAACATATCCAAAACAGTATACTATAAAAGTCAAAGCAATCCATAAAAATCATTTTTTACAAGTTTTTTTCCCTGTAGACTTCTAAGATTTAAAATAAGCACAATTACATCTTTGTGAAATATACAACTAAAACAAATGACTCAGAGTTGAGACTGTATTTATGAGAATGAATTTTGTCAATTTAACATTTGCATAATCAAAAACATGGAGAAAAACATGAATCTCTTTATCCACCTAAATGACGGAAGTTACACCTAACAAGGCTAACTACAAGCCAAGTGGTTGTAACACTACCTATAAATATAAATGCCACTATGTAATTATAGTCAATTAGTAAGAATTAAATTGCTCTGACACTTAAAAGTGTTCTATAAATGATTCATACAATTCCATCCAAAATTTTAAATTCAAAAAGGAGAAGATACAACATCCACTGGTGTAATGACTACAAAAATATACACTTTAAAAAAATATTTTACTTTATGTAGATGAAAAGAACTGTAAGGAAACAGACACAAACCATAACAGGTAGTTTTGCTATAGTGTGAAACTGAGTGACTCCCCCACAATTTTTTTTATTAAAACATTCATAGCAAATAAACATTTGACACAGCACTGGAAGTAAAAATGTGGGGGAGAGGTGACATTAAATATGTGCTTTGAGGAAAGAATGGGATAGGAGGAAACAACTTTCTTTTAATAACTAACACTGCCTAATGGAACTGACGGTAGATAACAATTAACTGATAGAATTAAATTGCTTAATTTAATATTTCCAGCAATCCTGAAATCAATCTAAAGATTGTAGAGATTGTATTGTAATGGCTCTTTCCAGAGGGAAAGCTTAAAAAACAAAAGTATTAAAACAGCTATCAGGTTAGGGAAAAGGGTTGGGTGGAGTTAAATAAATAAAAATTTAAAAAAGAAAAAAAATAGTTACCAATCTCAGATACCTGCTATAAGGATGCAACTAAAATCCATACATTAAGAGCTAAGAGCTAAGTTTGCTCTATCCTTTAATTAAAAGGCTGAGATACATATCCTCCCTCCAAATCCCATGTCCCCCTCCAAAAAAAGCTGTAAATAGTGTCACCCTTGCAAACCTTACATGTATGTATCTCACATACCATAGCAAATAATATTGATTAATACTCCTCTGCAAATTCTTATTACCTAAAAAAATTTAAGGCTCAGTAATTCTCCGTAGTTTGGTTTAAAATAAACAAACAAGCAATGCTCTGGAGCTATTAGAGAAGAGTGGTGGTGCATACCACCTGTCTGCTATCAATTAAGCACAAACCAGATCAAAAAGCCTCTTCTCCCCTTTGCCCTTCAAAAGCTGGATTTTATCCAAGTCAGTCAGTGTCCCTTACTTGAGGACAGAGTCTACTTAAGTTCACTTTGGAGGATTTCAAGAGGCTGATGTAATCTAGAAGGTTTTCCTAGTGGTCTATAAGCAAAGGAGAAAAAATTGAAAGTATAAACCCATGAGCCACTGATCAGGTCAAAAGCCAAAGAAAACTCTAGAATCTGGACTCTAAAGAGTCCTATAAAATCCATGGACTTCATGGGGAATTCAATCTATATCAGATAAAGCTCACACCCGTATGACCTTCCTGCAAACGCCTCCACACCAACTGGCCCCTAGTAAAAAGATGAGTATGTCCTAAGGTGTAGTGTATATCAGATGTTAACTTTCTGACTTACTCCAGGTAATTTTCCTGCTCAGTGGGTAATAACAGAGCCCATGGTAAAAGCAAACTGGCAGGAGCAGATGATCATTCAAGACAATTCAGTTTTCAACACTTAAAAGGTTACAGTGTAAACAGTGGCTATCTCTGGGAAAGAGATGTGAACTAGAAGCAGAAGTATGTAATGAGGTTGTCCCTTATGTATGCACTGTGTCATTTTAACTTTTCATGAGTATCAATTTACTTCTTTAATTTAAAAAAAGTAAATAAAATTTTGAAATGTGATTCCACTTTTTAAAAAGACTGAATAGGCCCACATAGTTCAAATGAAAAATAAGTACCATTGTGCAGAAGTTTGGATAATAGAAACCTACATATCAAACAGAAATAATTATCATATCCTACGAAAATAAAAAGGAATACTGGTAATGTTACCAAAAATGCCCACAGCAACTGCCATCCACTACCCACTACTTTGATTATACAATATTAGTCAGCAGAGGGAGTTTGAGTAATTCCCCCCATAAAATTGCACCTACTCTTAACAAACCCCCATCAATCTTAGCTTCATTAAAAATGTTTACAACAATCCATAGCCCTAAAAAATTAGATTTTTTTGTACCAACAGAACTCTGCTTCTCAGTTTTATTTTTCGTAAAAAATAACTATACACACACAATTTACATTTCACTGGGGTTCCTGTCTTATTTCCTTAAGGGAAAGAAAAGTTTCTCAACCTGAAAAGCAAACTAACTTAGACAATTAAGTGTACTATCATTTTAATGGAAGGTCCGTATCCTCCAATTGTTTGTCATGAAACTTTGGGATTAACAAAAGTAAGATTGTATACATCTATGACTCCGGGAAAAAGAGGAAAGGGGTACACAAACTATACTCTAAAAGCAAAATAATACAGCCACAATGCCAAACGTAAACCATGTCATTACACACAGGGTGTTCCAAAAGTTGTCACACATAGGGAAATGGGAAATTGTACCTGAATGTACCTTTATTGACAAAATATTCATTACAAAATTTTTCCTTTGTATCGAGACTTTTGGGACACCCTGTATTTGAGCAAGGTGAAATGTAACTAAACATCTCTAAAAGATAAATTTGTGACATCAGCATCTTAAAGTGTAAATAGCCAAATTTATCTTAAACATTCTTTTTAGTTCATTTTTCTAAAAAGCATTAAGAGAAATCATATAGAAAATGGCCAAAATCACCATAAATTAGGCAACCAGAAAGTACACAAATTATTTCGGGGAGGAGGATTTTTGTTTAATCCGGTTTATAAATCCATAATATAGTCACAAAAATAAAAAATATGAAGACATACACATAGTACATCTCACTTCCCACCCTTACCTTATCATATTACTTCTCCCTCTTCCCCATAGTTATTAGTTTTCCTGTATCCTCCCAGTTTTTTACATAGAAGAGCAAACATAAGTTTAATTACACACACAACCCTTAACACAAAAAATAGCACACTATTCTGTCCTACACCTTGGTTTTTTTTTTTTTTTTTCCACTTAAAAACAAATTTTTGAGATCTTTCCATGTCAGTACACAAGAGAGCTTCCTCATTCTTTTTTCATAGCTGATCCTGACTAGTTCTACCACATTTTCCGTCTACCTTCTTCAGGCTAACCTTTAAGACATTCTGTACAGTCCACTACTTAACACTTGAATTAGTTTCCTTCTCCCAACAAGATTTTAAAACAAACCAGATTTGAGGTGTCCCAAGGGGTAAGTTTCAGAGAAAGTAACTCATTACCTAAATTACATCCTTTTAAGAATGCTTATTTTCAAGCAGGTAGAGAGGGACACATTCCACAATTTTCTCCTCTGATCATTTAAAACAAAGCTACAAATCGGAACGCAGTCTTCAGGTGAAATTACCTTAACTTTGATTTGGGGAATCAGCGTAATAGTCAACAAGGACTGTAAAAGTTTCTTCTTGTGCTTTTCTTTCACTGCAAAAGAAAACATTGTGGGGTTTTTGTTGTTGTTGTTTTTGTTTGTTTGTTTTGTTTTAGAAGAAGGCTAGAAAGCCTTAAAGTCATCTATAGCATGGCACTCTGGCTAGCAAGAGAAACCACAACCTGATTTAATCTTCCATCTGCCAGGTGAGAGGCCGAGGCTTTCACCTTTCGGAATCCCGCTCGCTACTTCCAACAGGACGACTTGTGCACCCGCTAAAGTCGCCCAGGAATACAAACTATGGCGCTGCGCGCCGGCAACCAACGCGCGGGGCCAGGACCACCTCTCGGCTTCAGGCGGAAAGCCCGGCTCCGCCAGCGGAAAGCGACCCGGAGGCGCCGGCGGAGCGACCGCGAGCGGCGGGCGCGGGTCGGGGAAGGAGGGGACCCGGCGGCGCGGCGGGAGGCGGCCGCTCGGGGCCGCGCGCTCGCCGGCGACCGAGCCCGGAACCGCGACCACTAACGGAACCCGCCCGGCGGCGGCGGCGGCGGCCGCTCGGACTGCGGAGCGCGGCGCGCGGGCCGGGCGCCGGAGGGCGGGGGTTCCCCGGCGGACCTGGCCGCCCTGGCGCCCCATTGGGCGCCGCTCCAAACGTGCCCGAGCGGTGACAGGAATAAAGTGGGTCACAAGGCCTAGCGAGTCCCCAGCGAACGCCTTCCTGGCACCCGGTCCCCGGCTTTTCCAGTCTCCTAGCCGCCGGAGCCGGCCGCAGCCCCGGGAGCCCTCAGGCCACCCGGCCCGGCCGCGCACCCCAATCCCGCCCCTGCCCCGCAGGTAACCCCGGTGGCCCCAGAGGGCCTCTCGGCCAGGGCGGGCCTCCGCCCCGAGTCCCGGGAGAAGACGCAGAAGAGCGAGACGCAAAACTTGGGCTCCGGCTCCCGCCTTCCCACCCCCGGCCGCCGCCCCCCGGCCGCACACACGCCGCCCCCCGCGCCCTCCCTGCCCCGCGCCTCACCGTGTGGCTCGCGCGGCTCCGGCGTCTTCCCTCCCCCACCCAGCACTCCGGCCGCGGGGACGTGGAGCCGCCGCCCGGCCGCGTCCGGGAGACACCGCGGCTCCCGCGCCGGCGGCACCGGGGCTCTGAGTGGCACCCCCACCCGCCCCCCCAAAAATGCACCGCTACGGTCGCCCGCTCCTCCTCCCCCTCCCTTCCCTTCCCCTCCTCCACCGGCGCCGAGAGCGCGCATGCGCCGCCGCAGCAAGCCAACCGGCGGGCGTCAGGCCCGGGCCCACCGGCGGGGCGCCACTCACCGGGAGCGCTCGCGGCGGCGGCAGCGGACGGAGTTCCCCGCGCGCCCGCTCTCCGGGGCTTCCCTTTTGAAAGCGGCAGCCGCCAGCCGAGCCCGTGGTCGCGCTCCCTCCCGGCGCATGCGTCGTCAGTGACCCCGCGGACTCGGGCGGCCGGCGGAGGCTCCGCGCTCGCCCCTCCCCTCACTCTCCCTTTCCCGGCGCGCTCGGCGCGCATGCGACGTGCCCCGTTAGGCGGCGCGGAGCCGCGCCGGGGATCCCGGCGCCCGAGACTCCCGCGCCCTCGGGCCGCGCGTCCGCGCGCTCCGCCGCCGCCCGGCGCCGAGGGAAGCCGGGCTCAGCCGGCGCCCCCTTCCCCGCGCCGGCCGGGAGGGCGCCGGTTACTAGAAAGCCGGGAGGCGGGGCCAGGCCGGGCGGAGGGTGCGGCCGGTCCCGGGAGCGTCGGCGCTAGATCCGGGCGGCTCTCTGGCTCTCACCCCGGAGGCCGGGGCGAGGAGGAGGAGGAGGAGGAAGAGCTTCCTACCGGATGAGGAATCCGGAGGCAGCAGGGGGACCCCTTCTCCCTTGCAAAGAGAAACGCTTTGCCGGCGCCAGGTTAGGCTTTCCGTGAGTCGGTGTTGGGAGACTGACTTCGCTCCCGGGCCGGGGGAGCGGGCTGCCGCCCCATCTCCTGAGGGAGCGCGGCTGGGGCCGCCTGTGGGGCCGGGTCGGCGGGCCGGGCGCCCGCGGCCGCAGGAGGGAGGCGGAAGGCGGTCAGGAGGTGTCTGCTCTTTTGGAGTTTTCCCCCCTTGTCCTTTTCTGACGTGAGACGCCAAGTAACAGTATAGTAATGGACGGTGGGGAATGAAGCGATGCGGATAAGCCAGTACCCTACTTTGCGCGGGTTCCCTCTTTGGGACAGCGTGTGAATACTAACTGCTTGTCCCGGGGGAAGGTTACTTCCCTTGATGGTGTGAAGACGCGCTTGGTCCTCGTGAGAAAGCAGATTTCAGTGCTTCTAAGTTACTGGAAAAGAGGCCTTTACGGTTCTGATATCTAGTGATTTCTGTGTTTAATGACTGTTCTTTGGATTTGAAATAGAAGCCATCTTCATGCGTCAAAAAATACATTTTACTGTTTTGGCTATAAAACCCTCCCTTCAAGGTAACATTCACGTCAGTAAACATTTTAAATTCTTACTGTGTACTCAGAAAAACGTCAAACTGGAGGAGTATTCAGATCCCTGATCCTTCATTTGAGGATTGTTTTCTGTCGGGAGTGGGAAAGCATGATTTGTTAATTTACTTCCTCATATAGCAGAAGGGATTTTAGTAGACATTTTTCCTTTTCAGCATTCATTTCCTATTCCGATAGTTTCCTTTGAAGAACCGTTCCTTTCTCCACTCAGTCTGTGTGGTCTGGGCAGGACACCAGGGCGAAGGCGTATTTGAGTGAATCCTCTGTCTTAAGCTGCAGTGACCAAGAAAGGTACTACGTCTTTTCCAGTGGTTTTAAACCTGGAAGAATGGAAGCCTGGGGCCATATTCCCACGCATGAATTCTAAGAAAGAAGGCAACATGAAGAAAAGCAGATTCGAAGATGGAGATTTGGCCTAGAGATATGTTTGATACCCTGAAACCAATGTGGACCAGATTCCTTTGGAACTTTCTCAGTTAAACCAGTCAATAAATTCTTGTGTCTGTTTCTTTTATTGCTTAAACCAGTGAGAGGTTTTCTGTCACATGCAGTCAAGAGTCCTAGCTGATACTGGTGAGTAGCAAGAGGGAGGGAAGATTGATAATACTGATAAGGTAGATTGTAGCCAGATAAGAGGGTTTCAGTGCTTTTCCTAGGATGGATGTTTGGGTTTTGTTCTAAAGACACGATCCCTCTTCCTATTACCCATCATCTAGAACATATATCTTCAAAAATACCTTTGCCCTTTTTAGTGGTTTCGTTTTCCTCTTAGTCACCAAGATCAAGCCATGTTCATCTTTGAGTCCTCCCTCTCTCACTTTCTGTAATTATTTACCAAAACCTGTTGTTAATCCCCTGTTTTTCTGCTCTGTCCTTTGCCACTGCTTGATCATTTCCCATGGTTCAGTTCACAACTTCTTTCTTCCATATCCTCTCCAAGAAAAAAGCTATATTGCATATTTCCTATATCTTTTCCAACTTCTGAGATTCCACATTCCCACAAAACAAAAAATCGGGCCTCACGGTTTCATAGATCCTAACTTTATGTCCCCCAGCCTTAAACACGGTTTCAGATACTCTTTTCTTCAGTGCCTTGATCTCATTTAAACTGAGTATTTCCAACTCCCTTCTCAACTAATTTCCCTCAGTTGATATCTTGATACAGTCCATAGAGCACAGAATCAGGAACTAAACTGCCTGGATTTAAATCACAGCTCCACCACTCATTTTGCATGACCTTGAGTAGGTTATTTCTCTGTTCTTTAATTTCCTTGTCAGTAAAATGGAGGTAATTACAATCCCATCTCAAGGGGTAATTAAGACCGTGTATATAATAATGGTATCTTGTATATAAGAAATCCCAGATAAGTGATAAGTGTTGGCTATTTTTATCAGTGATATTCCTCCTTTTTGGGTAATTCTCACATCTCTTTTGCTCTATTTCTTCCCTTAACACTATGTCCCATCAGTCACAAAGCCATGTCTCTTTCATAATACTTCTTTCATCCACCTGTTCATTGCCAATCCCAGTTTTGCCACCATAGTTCAGGGGGAAGTGGAGAATAAGCTTAAGATATACTTAACTAGAAATATTAGGTAAGTTTTTGGGGTTTTTTTTTTTTTAAGCCTACATGGTTTAGTTAATTACTCATAGTCTTTCTAGTCCCTTTAAAACATAGGGAAGTACAAAAGTATGAGGTGGTATTACTGACTTCATAGTCAAAAGTCTAGGCTTAAATCCTGACTAAAAGTTACTAAACTGAGAGACACTGAGCAAGTCAAGTAATTCCCCTGAGTTTCAGGGAATTTATAACTTACGTAAAGTTATAAGAGTAAGCATTTCAGAGAACTATGATGATCAGACATAAATTAATCTGCTACATAAAGGTTAGGTGGTTGTAGATCTTTATAACTTTTTGTTGGAAATGTAGGAATGGTTGAAATGACTCACAAATGCTTAATTCCAGACCACACAAGAGTCTCACTTTGTTGTCCGAGCTAAAGTGCTATGGCATCAGCCTAGCTCACAGCAACCTCAAACTCCTGGGCTCAAGCAATCCTTCTGCCTCAGCCTCCTGAGTAGCTGGGATTACAGGCATGTGCCACCATGCCCAGCTAATTTTTTCTATATATTTTTAGTTGTCCAGCTAATTTCTATTTTTAGTAGAGACGGGGTCTGTCTCTTGCTGAGACTGGTCTCAAACTCCTGAGCTCAAATGATCTGCCCGCCTTGGCCTCCCAGAGTGCTAGGATTACAGGTGTGAAACACTGCGCCTGGTCAGCAAGATTCTTTTGAAAATATTAATGAAATCATTTTATGTGCCCTCTAAAAGCCCTTTTATAATTTCCTATTACATCCAAATGCCTAATTGCCTTTAAAAGATCTGCTGTTTACTGCTTCTCAAATTTTAATGTGCATATCAATCACCTGGGGGTCTCATTAAAAAGAAAATTCTGGTTCAGTTAGTCTGGGATGGGGCCCAGAGATTCTGCATTTCTGGGAATACTGCTGATTCTTGGACCACATTTTAATAAGGCAAACTAAGTAGGGATGGGAGTTTCAATAGAGCACAGGTGGCAGGGAACAGACAAACAGGATGAAATATCCGTTTTGTACATCAAAATGGTTGAAATATTGGCCTTTAAGTTTGTACCCCGTTGAATAAAAAATTCATTCAGTAAAATGGGGAACAATATTACATATTAAATAATTTTCCCACTGTCTGACAAATATTTATACCCTACTTAAATGAAAATGTATAAATGAAGCAAGTAGTAGGGCCCTCTGTTGGTAGGCCTGAGTCCTTGCTAGAAGAATGTGTGCACTTTTCAAGAGTGGGGCTAAGCTGGAGCATTGGTGGTTCAGTGGTAGAATTATCAAGAGTGGGTCTGTCCTTCAGGAAGAGTAGGTCTATAAAAAAAAAAAAAAAAAGAGTGGGTCTGGAAGCACAACCAGCCGGTTCTAACATGGTACAATTTTATGATTTTTGCAAATATTAAAGTTTTGGAATTGTGTTTGTGGATAAACTCACTGCCACCTGGTGGATCTGAGTTAAGATTTAAAAGGGAAATATGTATCTTTTTTTTAGCTCTAAATACTACTAGTACTTCCTCTGTTAATTTTTTAATTTTAAATATACTTGTAATTATGGGTACCATAATAGTTGTATATAGGGTGTATAGGGTACATGTGATGTTTTGATACAGGTATACAATGTGTATTAATAGTATTTCCTCTGTTTAACTTAAAAAAACAGCTAAATATGTTTTTTTAAAAGATTACATTTAGGGGTCCATTTTGCATTTGGTTTCAATTGGAGGGGAAAATAATGTTCATGTTTACATGCATTAGATGGCATTAGAGTTACATGGTAATTTTATGATAATAAAGTTCTTCCTTTCATTTCCACAACTGATTTAACCTGAACAGGAATTTATCCATCCATTTCTTAATGGGTTCAGAAGTTGCTCATAATTGCCATAACTGGGGAATTACTTCTCAGCCATGTGTGCATAATGCTATAATAAAGACAACTGCATGTGACCTCTCTTAACTTTCCTTCCCTCCAGTCCCAAGATGTATATTTTCATAAACCTTTTTTATCTATCTCAAAAGAAAGGGGTTTTCTTAATCTTTTCCAAAATTAGATCACTTGATTTTACCTTATCTGGTGCAATAAATTCTCATTACCTTACTCAAATCTGTATTTAGGCCAGGCGCAGTGGCTCACGCCTGTAATCCTAGCACTCTGGGAGGCCAAGGTGGGCTGTTTGCTCAAGGTCAGGAGTTCGAAACCAGCCTGAGCAAGAGCGAGACCCCGTCTCTACTATAAATAGAAAGAAATTAATTGGCCAACTAATATATGTATATATAGAAAAAATTAGCCGGGCATGGTGGCACATGCCTGTAGTACCAGCTACTCGGGAGGCTGAGACGGGAGGATCACTTGAGCCCAGGAGTTTGAGGTTGCTGTGAGCTAGGCTGACGCCAAGGCACTCACTCTAGCCTGGGCAACATAGTGAGACTCTGTCTCGGAAAAAAAAAAAAATCTGTATTTAACTTTCCTTCCACTTCATGGTTCTCTGCAACCTCTAAGACCCCTAACCACTAATAGCAACAAAGAAACTCCTTCTTGACTCCATGTTAAACTGCCTCAATTCTCACCAATTTATTTTTATAATCTAGGCATTTAAACTTAGTCTAGATTCACTCACAAACAGCAGTGAACATCCATAATTGGAATTATGGGACATCAATACAAACAGAGTAGAAGAATAAAATCTGTTATTGAACTATTATGTGCTGGATTTAGCAACCTTTCTTCTAAAAGTGATGTTCATTATCATGCCAAGATAAAACATCCTGCAGGTCTTTTTCAGTGTCCTGATATTGTATGTTTTCTCTTGTTGAATTCTTTTGTGATTACTATTAAAACATACGTAGTCTCACAGTATATTTTTCTCACCTCTCTTTCTCAGGATTTAGAAACCTACATGTCATATTGTCCTAATGATTCTGTAGTTTAACTATTAGTGAGAATACTTAGTGATTTTCTACCTTAATAACAGAACAATTCAAAACAATAATAATGAATGGGGATGTTATGTACTTTTTAGAATCTGTAAATTATGCTATTAAATGGTTAATATTTTTAGTAGATAACAGATTTCAGAGAAAAAGTATATGGTCATAAATTTTAAAGTTTTCACTGAAGGCTCTGAAATAATAGACACTAAAATGTGTTGACTTAAATGAAACTTCATGGTTCTCTTTCATTATTTTTATGCATAGGCCTCTTTGAAAGTGAGTGGGTGGCAGTGGCTCACGCCTGTAATCCTAGCACTCTGGGAGGCCGAGGTGGGCTGTTTACAGAGAGGATTTGTAAAATTTGTGTTTTGTCCAACATAGGTCAGAAAAAGGATAAGCCAGAGAAAAATAATAAGAGTTTAACACAAATTCTGGCTTTCTCAGAGGCAATGAATATTCTGAAATACCTGAAAAATTTTGAAATGATATATAAGGTATAATTCTAATATATAAATAGAAATAAAATAAATCTATTTGGAAATTTTCTGGTCTCTGATTATAAAGGCAGTAGTAAATAAAATAAAAATTAAAAAGTCAGTAGTAAATACTTTAAAAGCTATTTATTAAATATTTCTATTTGGTATCATTATCACTGTTGGAACTATTACTGTCATCATAAATAGAAGTGTTTCTAATTGAGGATACCATCATATCTACAATGTCTTTTTTGGGGTTTTCTTCCAAATCAGTCTGTATTGCTCCAACTTCTGCTAGCTTCCATTCAAGTTCTGTAATAAACAACCCATCAGTAAGTCAGATATAAATCTTGGGAAAATGAAAAGAATTTCTCATCTATATGAAACAGAAGTTGACAGTAATAAAATTAACATAGAAATGATATATTTAGAACTGGATGACAAAGAAAGTACTACAGTGTCAACATACACAATGGATACAGCAAAGTTATACTTACAGGTTATTACTATTACAATGTGACTTTGTTTTGTGCTGCTAAAATAGAATACCTGAGACTGGGTAATTTATAAAGAATAGAGATATATTTCTTACAGTTCTGGAGGCTGGAAAGTCCAAGGTTGAGGGGCCTGCATCTGGTGAGGACATTCTTGCTGTATCATTCCATGGTAGGATTTGAGAAGGTGAGAGAAGATGAGCAAGAAAGAGCAAGAGAGGGCTGAACTTGCTTTTAAAACAAACCCGCTCTCAAGATAATAAACCCACTTCTGCCATAATGACAATCCATTCAGAGGGAAGAACCCTCAGGACCTAATCACCATTGCATTGGGGATTAAGTTTCCAACACATGAACTTTGGGGGACACATTTAAACCACAGCATTCTGCCCTGGGTCCAAAATTCATGTCCTTCTCACATGCAAAATACTTCCATTCCATCCCAGTAGTCCCAAAATTCTTGTTCCAGCTTCAACTCAAAAGTCTAAAATCCAGCCGGTGCGGTGGCTCACGCCTGTAATCCTAGCTCTCTGGGAGGCTGAGGCGGGCGGATTGCTCGAGGTCAGGAGTTCGAAACCAGCCTGAGCAAGAGCGAGACCCCGTCTCTACTAAAAATAGAAAGAAATTAATTGGCCAACTAATATATATATAAAAAAAATTAGCCGGGCATGGTGGCGCATGCCTGTAGTCCCAGGCTGAGGCAGCAGGATCGCTTAAGCCCAGGAGTTTGAGGTTGCTGTGAGCTGGGCTGTCGCCACGGCACTCACTCTAGCCTAGGCAACAAAGCGAGACTCTGTCTCAAAAAAAAAAAAAAAAAGTCCAAAATCCAGAGTCTTATCTAAATCAGATATTGGCAAGACTCAAAGCAGGATTCATACTGAGGCAAATTTCCCTCTAGCTATGAGCCCATGAAATTAAACAAGACTATCCTATAGTCATAGGATAGACATTCCCATTCCAAAAGGGAGAAATAGGCAAGAAGAAAAGGGTAACTGGTCCCAAGTAAGTCCAAAACCAAACGGGGAAAACAACATTAAGTCCTAAATCTGGAGAAGAATCTCCTTTGATTCGATCTCCTGCATCCTGGGTACACTGGGATAAAGATAGTCCCCAGCCTTGCTCCTGTGGCTTTGCTGGGCCCAGTCTACACAGCAGCTCTCACAGGTTGGAATTTTGTGCATATAGTTTTCCCAGGCTGGAGTTGCATGCTGGTAGCCCTACAGTTCTGGAGTCTCAGGGACTTCCACTAGGCATTGCCCTAGTGAGGACTCTGCAGTGGTTCCACCCTTGCAACAAGTCTCTGCCTGGGCCTCTAGGCTGTTGGTGACATCCTTTGAAATTGACATGGAGGCCATCATGACCTCACAGCTCTTGCATTCTTCCAACCTACAGAATTAGCACCATGTGGACACTGCCGAAGTTTATTGCTTCTACCTTCCAAAGCGGCAGATCAAGCTGTACCTGAGCCATGGCTGGAGTGACCAAGGGGTGCTGTGCTGAAATATGGGAGCAGAGTCCCAAGGTGGCACAGGGCAGCAAATGCTGAGGTACCATAGGCACCTCTCTGGAAACCTCACCTTCAAGGTCCTAGTTTGCCTCAAATATCTCTGAAATGCCTTTGGGGTCATTCTCCTGTTGACTTTCTGAACAGAACCTGGCTTTCTTCTATCCATATTAATCTCTTTGGCAAACAGTCACTTGGCCACACCTTTAGCATTCTCTCCTGAACATGCCTTTTCATTCCTTACATGGCCATGTTGAAATTTTTCAACATTTTTACTTTCTGCTTCCCCTTTAATTATAAATTGTGTCTTGAAATCACTTCTCTTTTCTCTCATTTTCCTGTAAGCAGCCAAAAGAAGCCATGCAGCACAATGAAAAGGGCTTACTGGAACCAGTTCCAATGGTTAGATATTCTTCTTCCAGATATCCTAGTGCATTACTCTTAATTTCTGCCTTCCATAAAATCCCAGGAGATGAACACAGTTCTGCCAAGTTCTTTGCAACTATAAACAAGAATGGCCTTTAGTCCAATCCCCAATACCTTGTTCCTCAATTCCATCTGAGACCTCATCAGATGGCCTTTACTGTCTGTATTCCTTCCAGCATTCTGATCACAACCTAAACAATCTCTGGGAAGTTCCAGACTTTCCCTACATCTTCTCTTCTTCTGAATCCTCACCAGAATCGCCTTTAATGTTCCATTCACAGAAATCTAGGCTGCTTCTAGCCTGCTTCTCCAAATTCTTCCAGCTTCTACTCACAACAGTAGTCCCCTGTTAGCCAAGGTTTCGCTTTCTGTGGCTTCAGTTACATACAGTGCAGTATAATAAGATAATTTCAGAGAGAAGGAGAGACCATATTCACATAATTTTTATTATGATATATAGTTATAATCATTCTATTTTATCAGTAGTAATTGTGTTAATCTCTTATTGTGCCTGATTTATAAATGAAACTTTATCATAGGCTTGTATGTATAGGAGAAAACATAGTGTGTATAAGGATTGGTACTATCTGCAGTTTCAGGCATCCACTGGGAGTCTTGGAACATATGCCCCAGAGATGAAGTGGGATTACTGGACCCAGTTCCAAAGCCACTTCCACGTTTTCAGCTATTTGTTATAGTAACAGCCTCACTGGTGTGTACCAAGTTTCTGTCTTAGTCTCTGTCGTGCTGCTATAATGGAATGTTACAGATTGGATAATTTACAAAGAAAAGAAACTTCCTTCCCACAGTTCTAAAGGCTAGAAAGTCAAGGAGCCTACATCTGGACGGGGCCTTCTGGTTGCAGTATCCCATGGCAGAATTTGAGGGGGTGTGAGAGAGAACAAGAAAGAACCAAATTTGTTTTTACAGCAAACTCACTCTAGCAACAACAAACCCACTTCTGCAATAATTAACCTACTTACATGATAACAATATTAATGGCCTCATGACCTAATCTCCTCTTCAGGGTCCCAGCTCTCAACATTGTTGTATTGGGGATTAAGTTTCTAACACATGCACTTTGGGGATACATTCAAATCATAGTAAAATGTTTATTTTTTCAAATGACTGAAAGTAAATAGTTTAAAAGTTCAGATAAAGAAGCTAGGAAAACCACAACAAAGTAAAAACCCAAGAAAAGAAGAAAAAGAGATATAATGAAGAAAAATACTTTAGAGAAAAAGGAAAGTAGAAACAATAGGGACGACCAGCAAAATCGAAAGCTGGTTCTTCGAAGAGACTAATAGACACAACTCAGGCAAAAATGATCACAAGTAAAGAAACCAATTAGCATAAAGAATTGACATGGGACACAACAAAACAATAGCAAGATACCATTTCATGTCCATCAGATTGACATACACAAAAAAGAAAACCACAGGTTGGTAAGACCAAGATCTGGTGAAAATGTGGGTAAATGGGAACCCTCATAAAAATTAAAACTCTCAAAAGATTTTAAAAGTCATGGGACTACTATGAAAAACCGTATGCCAATACATTTGAAAACTTTAATGAGAAAATTTCAAGAAAAATACGAAATTCGAAAACATGCCTAAGACAGAAAGCCTGAATTTGCCAATAACCAAAAAATAGAATTGATAACAAAATATCCCCCATCCTTGGAAATTGATCATTTTGTTAAATTTATAACTAAGTACTTTATAGATGAACAAAAAACATTTATAAGAAAAATTACAAAATATATCTGAAAATCATAAAAGATGACCAAAATAAATGATAAACTGTATCTCATTCATGGATGCAACATTCATTCTTATCAGGGGATTTGAACAGATTATTTGTACACCCATGTTCATAGCAGCATTATTCAAAACTATTTAGGCGAAAGGTAAAAACAACCTAAGTGTTCATCAACAGACAAAGGGATACACAAAATGTGCTTAAAACGGAAGGAAATTTTGATAACATGCTACAACATGGATGAGGACATTATGCTGAGTGAAATGTCAGTCACCAAAGGACAAATAATATGACTTATATGAGGTGCCTAGAGCAGCCCAATTCATAGAGACAGAATGTAGAAGGGTGGTTGCCAGGAACTGAAGGCATTGAAGAATGAGGAGTTATTGTTTAATGGGTACAAAGTTTCAGTTACGCAAAAGGAAAAGAATTCTGGAAGTAGATGATGGTGATGGTAGCACAATGTGAATGTCCTTAATGCCATGGAGCTGTACAATTAAAAATGATTAATGTTATTGATATTAAATTGTATGCTATGTTACACAATTTTTTAAATATACCAATGAATTTCATTGCTATCTCCCTCTCAAAAAACAAAAAGTATTAGATACTCACTAAATTTGTGTTAGCTTTTGCCTTTAAGGAAGCAGGGAAGGAAACAGCACTAGGAACGGAAATACAGGTCACTTCAACTATAACTCTAATGTGTCTTTAAAAAATACGTGAACAGATAGCTAAAGCAAACATGAATAAATATTCACATTTGTTATTTTTGATAATTGCTACGATCTTGAATGCTTGTGTCCCCCCAAACTCCTACGTGGAAATCCTAACGCCCAAGGTTATGTCATTATTGATAAGAGGTGGGGCCTATGGGAGGTGATTCGATCATGAGGGCAGAGCCCTCGTGAATGCAATTAGTGCAGAGAGGCCCAAGGGAGCCTGTTGGACTCTTCCACCATGTGAGGACAGCAAAGTCGCTGTCCATGAAGGACAGGCCCTCACCAAACACCAAATCTGCTGGCACCTTGATCTTAGACTTCTCAGCCTCTAGAACTGTGAAATATAAAGTTTCTTATTTATTAGCCACCCAGCTTACACTATTTTTGTTATAGTAACCTGAACAGACTAAGACAATAATGATTTTGTGAACGCTTACTATATTATTCCTTGTACTCTTATGTATTAATTTTTTTAATTCAAAAGATAAGCTCCAAGCTAGCAAAACAATGTAGTGAACCAAGGAGGGGCATTAGAGAATGGAAGGAAAAGGCTGAAATTCTGGAACAATTAAAGCATTGGAGGTCTCAATAAGGCCTACAACAGTTTTTAGAGAGTGACAGAGTGAAAGAATACCTGTTGAAAACAGCCATCCGCAATGGCTTTAACCCGATGGTGAGAGGAAACGATTTTTAGTTTCATAAAATGGAGTTAAAGCAGTTCCAAAAAATGAATAGACCAAATAAATGGCTTTAGGAAATAAAAATAATTAAAGAAGATAAAAATATAAAATCTTGTGCTGTGTGCCATGAAAAAGAAAATAATAGGAGACATGGTCTCTGTACTTTTTAGGGAGACTCAAAGGGAATTGGTTAATCAACAAAATCAGGTAGCATGTGAATAAGTGAAAAATGAGTTGTATAGAGAATATATGCTATAGAAATCTGGTAGAGAAGAGGGAGGCAGAATACGAATTTGGTCCAGGGTTACAAAATGGGGGAAATGAAAATTGAGGAGATCCATGAAGGTATAAGTTTAGACAAGTAGAATAAAGAAAGGTAGGGTATTTTAGGTACAAGCAAAGAGTGTGTAACAAAGTGTGATGGCACAAATGAGTAAGGTATGACTGTGGGTAGTGAATGAAAACCAGCCCAGCTGAAGCAGAAACTAGAAAGCACTGAGAAATAAGGTTGGAAAGCTCAGCTGAGCTTCTAAAGCAGAAGATTCTAAATTTTTAATTTATTTGAGACAAGGGACTATAAACCATTTTAAGCAAGGGGTATTATAAGAGTATTATTGTAGGAAGATTAATCTGGAGGCATACAAGAAGAGAGTAGAAGCAAGGTAAAAAAACGTACTGTATTAAGGAAATAAACCTTCAAGTTACTTGTTAATTTACAGAAGTTTTCACCCATTATTTTTATAGGCAAAATTTGAAAATAACATCATTACCTTCTAGCTTGAGATTTATCCCTCCACATTCTATAATTCCAATGAACTTGCCTTCTATCTGACCATTTTTATAAACAAAAATTGTTGGCAAACAATTGTCATGGTAGTGTTGAATACAGCTATTCACGATGGCTTTAACAAATTTAGTTTCTGGAAACTTTCTTGCTAGACGACTAAGATGCTGGTTAACCAACAAACACATTGGAATGCTAAAAAGAGAAATAGTACACAGAATATCTTTAGGAAGCATATCACTCATCTCAGTCTATTAAAATAAGTGAAACATTCCCATGACAAAAATATATTTTAGATAGTTTTTGATGTAAAAGCGTATCATTTTCATCCTCTGCAGTTACCGTAAGCAACGATGACTATATGTAGAGTCCTCTGACTTTTGTTGCAAACACCATCATAGCCTGGGAATGAAGCTAGCTACGATGGGAATCTGATGCCTAACTTAGGCAGACTACATCCAATTAGCATCAGTTTACTTCAGGCCAGTCCCCAGTTTGTAGGTGACATGAAAAAAAAAAAAAAAGCAACAACAAAACAAAAACAGGACATTTCTAGGGAATCCTTGGCAGATCCGAGTTGAAACAAAGCGATCCTAACTCCTGTGACCATCATGAGCTTATTTCTACATAATGAGATTACCACATCCAAAGTTTCTTGTTTCAGACTTCCTTGATTTTCCTGACTCCAGCAAACTTCCTCTTCAATCTTTGGCAACCCATTCCGTGCCACAGCCTAGTCCATTATCCAAAACTATTCTTCTGTGGAACATTTCTCTGTTGGTTATTCTGCTTCCCTCTTTTCCTATTTTCTTATCTTTTCTTCTCTAAAGACTCTTTCTCCTCCATTTTGCATAAACATATTCAAGTTACTAAACCTTAAAAAAACAAAAATCCCTTACAACCTCTGTGTCTCTTTCTCTTAATAATAACTACTTTGTCTCCTTCTGATCACAGCCCAGAGGAAAAAGAAAAAAAAAGTCTCTATGTTTTGCTCACCTTCCTTCTTGAACCACTCTCCTCCCCTTTTGGCTTCTGTGATAACACTTTCTATCAATTTCCTCTTTATCTTTCTGACTTCCTTCTTCTGTCTTTGCCTCAAATGTAGATGATCCTTATGACTATATCCTGACCCTCGTCTCATTCTAGACACATTCACTGAGCAATCTCAACCATTCCAATATCAATCTCTCTCTTTTCACACCAAAAAAAATCTAATCTTTCTCCTATATTTTCTTAGGTTGGCACTCGGTACAAAAATCTCCCTTGCTTCTACAACACCTAATCAGTAATCAAGACATATTGATCCTACCTCCTTATGTCATATCTTTCCTCTCCTCTCTTTGTCCATTGCCTAACTCCTCTCCTTTCTTATCTGAGCTACATCAGGTTGCCCCAAATGGTCTCTGTGTCCAGTCCTGGCTCCCCACATTCATCCTGGACCCTGCTTACAAAGGGAGCCCAGCATGAAAATCCCACTGGGTAACCCCACGGCTCTGTCCCTCCCCCAACCTTAAAACCCCTTCAATGGCTCCTCACTGCTTTTAGGATAATGTCTGGATTCCTCAGGTGGCCTTCAAGGGTCTCCATGGCCTGAGCCCTGCCTACCTCTCCGCATCATTCTCTGTCTGCCACCACATTGCAACACATGATTTAGCCAGATCAAGCCCCACTAAGCACCACAGTGCCTCTTACATCCATATCTTTATTCGAGCTGCATACTCTATCTAAAATACCCCATTCATCCTATATACTTCCTTTAACCCTATATACCCAGGGAAACTTTTCTTGTTTTTTGATGCCAAGACCAAGAATGACTTACCCTATAGAACTTTCCATACTTCCCTCCTCCAAAAGTAGAACTCGCCACTCCTGTCTCCAGTGCCTTTCCTCTACTCTGTGTAGACTTCAACCATAGAACCTAAAAGACTTTATTATTATATGTAATTGTTCCCTTCTACTATACTGAAATGTACATAATGTCAGAGACAGCCTTTGAATCCACAACATCTACAATATTCTCAGAGATCCTCTTAATCCTAGCTGATGTTACATATCAGTTTATGGAGGAAGAAGCTAAGAAAAGCAAATTAAATGCAGTACTTGTTTAATTTACATTTCAGAATAGATGTATATCATTTCTCTGGACAATTATAACTTGCTACCCATCTAGATACTGCTTTATTTTTGTTGGTGGCCTACTGAAAGTAATACTAGAGAAACATATACTGCCCAATTTAAGTGCCAGTTTTCCACACAAAGCAATGACATAAATTGACTTCGTGAGTTTAAGTTTTCCACAAATAGGTTAAATGAATCCCCTAATATATAGTTCAGAGAAATGTTATCATTACTGTCAGGATGAAAGCTCAGTCAGTGGTATGACAGACACTTGTGAGGTGGGTCAGTAGTGCAAATCGCAGAAGGCAGGTGGGCACTGGTGGTAGCTGTGAAAAGCATGCAACTGAGAGAGCTGGCTTAACAAACGATGGTTCAGGGGGAAAGGGCTTGCCTCAAGACGGTTCTGACCACAAGTGGTAGGGGAACAAATTTGGTGTTGGAGTGCAGGGGCCAGAATTTTTAACCCCAGAAGAGCTATAAAATATTAAGCTGACCTCAGACATCACAAAACAAGTTAAGGGCCTATTTATGGTGTTCAGTTTTTAAAATATGCACTTAGGTATACGAATAATATAAAATTATTATTTTATATTATTTTACCCACACTAGAATTTGGGTACAAGTGTAAGATTTGATAAAACCAGAAACAAGACTGACTTTCATCTAAGCCACTAGGCTCGGTGGCCTAGGTTGAGTTAGATCCCTCTAAGGCTGTGGTCCCCAACCCACGGGCCACCAACAGTACTGGTCCATGGCCTGTTAGGAACTGGGCCACACAGCAGGAGGCGAGCAGCAGGTGAACGATAGAAGCTTCATCTTTATTTACAACCACTCCCCATACCCCTACCCCTGGTCTGTGGAAGAACTATCTTCCACGAAACTGGTCCCTAGTGCCAAAAGTTTGGGGACCGCTGCTCTAAGGCACCTTAAGAGGGCTGAGCTTTCATTTGCATGAAAAGTAGGCCCAATCCTATAAATTTAATGGCAAAGAGCCATTAAAATTATAAAAATTAAGAGTCTAGTAAAAAAAACTGTCACTCTCCTATAAAATGCATAGAAGGTAGCTCAAAACACAAATTTATTTAACAGTTATACTTTACTTTATGATATTAAAAAGTTATGAGGGAGCTTAGTGCATGGCATATGCCTATAAACCCAGCTACTAGGGAGGCTGAGGTGGGAGGATTGCTTGACCCAGGATTTTGAGTCCAGCCGGGGCAACTTAATGAGATCCCATCTCTGAAAAACTGTTTTTAAAAAGTTATGAGGAAATCTATTGTTAAAAACTAGATTTTTCTAAAGAATATTTGCAACACAAACAATGATTTCTTATTTTATAAATTTGATTATAGATTAATTTTCTTAAAATATATGTTTTATACCAACACATGAATTTTTTAATGTCCAAAAAACCAATATTTTATGTGGCCCCCCCAAAAAAACCTTCTGAGTAGGTCACAAATACTTGAAGTATTATGAAACCATATCCTTACTCTTTGAGTCTATCAAAGCATATGACAATCTGAAGCAGACTAAAACACATTCAACCTCTCTATGAATTTTTGAAAATCATTTGTCAAAACTAGTAACTTATCTAGAAGTAACCATTAAAGTAAATAATTTTATTTAGCAGCAAAAGGACAGTCAGGGGAACTACTTCAGTAAATAACATTTACTGCAAACAGAACCCAGGTTTGTAAATGTCAATGTTTCTCATCATCCTTTGTGAGACCTACGACCAGCAACGCCGACAACTTGGTTTAACCAAGGAAGTGGTACCGGTAAAATGAGAATGTGATTCTTTTTAAGACTTTAAAACAACTTAAAAATTAATCTACTGAGAGATTTGGTTACAACAAAAGTTAACTTTTACGGGGCGTTTTCGTTCATGGGCATGCTGTCCTATCAAAATTTGACCGAGGAATTGGTGAGCTGGTAAACAGTAGGGCTGTAATTTGCATAAAACCGCTCTGTATGAATTGCATAATTTGCATAAATCGCTCTGTATGAACTTCTCTAAGGACCTAAAGAGATGAATTTCTCTAAGGACCTTAAGATGAGGACAGGAAGGGCTGCTGTCATGGCCTCTGTCCCTGGAGCAGTTGACAGCTCTGCGGCAGAGGACTTGGGACCTAAAGCTAGAGGAGGGGCTGTTTCAATGGGAGAAACAGTTGGGGAAAAGTCTACTCTCTCCAGGCATTGTACCAGGCTTGTGAGGCCTAGGGGCCTTGGGTTATACTTAGTACAACCGGGCATTTTAAAACTAATTGCCTTGGAGGAATGGGGAGTGCAGGAGAGCTGCTCTATTCAAAGAGACTTAAGAGACAGGCTATATCTAAAATATGCTGCGTGATCCTTGATTGGCTCTTTGTTAAAAAGCTACATGTATTTATTAAAGATATACTGAAGTCAGTTGGGAAAATTTTAGTAAGGATTAGGTGTTAGATGCTATTAGAGATTACTGTTAATTTTGTTAGATGGGAAAGTGGTATCATGGTGATGTAGAAGAACGCTCTCGAAGAGGTTCGTAGTATGCCACTCCAAAACATGCCGCTCTGGCCTAAGGGTTATTTTGAACTAAGGGCAACTGAGAAGAAACAGACGCAACACTCCCTGCCCTCCCCCTCTTCTACCAGGAAGAGCAGGGCATTCTTAATCATTAGAGACAACTCTAGGCTCTTGCCAGCCCAGAGAGGCACCAGAGGAATCTACATAACAAACCTTGCTAAAAACAACCTTCATCTTCCATCAATTTCACCCATGTGTCTTCCTGTCCACAATCTGCCACCCCTAGAAGCTCAAAGTCACTTTCCTTTTTGTTGTCGCTTCTCTACAAACTTATAGTTCTTTCGTTAAGATGTTATATAAGCCCAAGTTCTAACCACCCCATTGAGCTACTTATCATTGAATTCTCCAGTTGTATATATGTTTTTTCTTATTAATCTGCCTTTTGTCAGTTTAATTTGCAGGGCATCAGCCAATGAACCTAAGATGGGTAAGAATTCTTTTTTCTCTCTCCAACATCCTTATGTTTTAAAGATACCTGCTGAAACACACAGGAATAAACCATCATGCTGTGTGTAATTTACTTTGAAATGGTTCTGCAGACGAAAATACACACACACAATGGTATAATAGGCAAAAGGGTCATTATTACATATATGCGGTAGGTATTTAGAGTGCTCATTTTATCATTCTTTCTACTTTTCTGTATTTTTGAGATTTTTCCATAATAAAAAGTTTTAAACTAGCTAGCAGAGTACTTGTTTTTCTAAGAAATGTGACTAATTCTTTAAATTAAAAATAAAATATTTTAAAATACCTAATTTAATCCCTAAGGCCAATGACTATCAAAAACTCTGTAGATGTATGTATAATATATACACATTTCTATTTTCCTGAGTATTCTTTGTTATATGCTTTATAGAATCTTAAAACCAGAAATATGTCTTTTAAAACATTAGGACATTTACATTTTGAAATGCTAACGTAATTACCTTGATCTGTATAGATGAATTATAACCCACACATCTTTTTCTGCATTTGTGACTTCATTCACATACTGATTTCCAGAAATTTCTCTTAATTCCCCAAATTTTTGTTTTTTCATAAGACATTTCCATTCCTGTAACCGCTTTTCTCTAATTAAAAAATGAAATTAAGTTACATGAGAATTGTCATATTCTTAAAGTCATTCTCATATGCAGTAACTATTTAGAGCAACGAATATAATGCCCATATATATCAAACACTATAAATGATACGGTAACCGGTAATAATATTATGAAGCCAATTTTTTAATATGGGAATTTGTGTTTCTATGGATATTGAAAAGTATGAGAAGTTTGCTATTGACTTTTAAATTTATTTATATTTAGTACTAGGTTGTAATCATAGCTATAGAGAGTTTATTTAGACATTGGGCCAACAAACTCTCATGTACAGGTTAAATACTTTTTAGAAGACAATATCCATAATAATATCTGACATTTATCGAATGCTTACCATGTTGCCAGGCACTATTTTAAGTGTATCACATTAACTTAATCCTTGCAAAAATGTTACTAAATCAGTGCTATTATTATCCCCATTGATACATTTGTAACTATCATGCTAAGCTGACCTTCAGTCCAAACCCTTTGTGAATATTTCCAATTACTTGTTATAAACATAAATTTATTCAAGGTAGAGAGGTAGAAGAGGAGAGTGATTATGAGCTCTCAGGTCAGACTAAACTGGTTTTAAATGCCAGATCCAATACTTATTAACACCATGAACTTTGACAAGTTATTTAAATTCTCTAAACTTCAGTTTCCCCAACTGTACATGGAAACAATACTAATAACTACTTACATGGGATCGTTGAGTATTAAATGAGATAATATATGTAAATTTCTTAGCATGGTGCCTAGCACACAGTGAACATTCAATAAATGTCACCTATTTATTCATCCATAGAAAACCTTAAAACTTTGTTTTGTTTTGTTTTAAAAAACCCTCTCAAAATTTATATACTTTGATAATTGAGCTATTGAATGCCTGATTCACCAAGCAAACCAAAATGGTTTGTGACATGTCTGCAAGTTTCTTAACATTTAGTGATTCTATACCTCTAAATTTGCTGGGGGTACTTACTCCCTTTCTTTCTCTGTATATAAATTATATTTTCTTATTTTGTGTATTATTTTTTTTATTTTTTATTTTTTTTTTTGAGACAGGGTCTCACTCTGTTGCCCAGGCTAGAGTGAGTGCTGTGGCATCAGCTTAGCTCACAGCAACCTCAAACTCCTGGGCTCAAGCGATCCTCCTGCCTCAGCCTCCCGAGTAGCTGGGACTACAGGCACACACCACCATGACCAGCTAATTTTTTCTATATATTCTTAGCTGAGCAATTAATTTCTCTCAATTTTTAGTAGAGACAGGGTCTCGCTCTTGCTCTTGCTCTTGCTCAGGCTGGTCTCCAACTCCTGACCTTGAGTGATCTGCCCGCCTTGGCCTCCCAAAGTGCTAGGATTACAGGTGAGAGCCACCGCACCCGGCCTATTTTGTGTATTCTTGATGCAGAGAATGCACTGATGCACTTAATTCTTCACACTGTAGAGACTGCCCCTCTGAGGGCTAGCTAGAGCTAATTCCTAGAGCTAGCAAACCTTCACCAGAGAGCATGCTCCTCAAACACAAACCAACCAATCTGCAGCCCATATACTCCACCACCTCCCCTTTATCAGACTGAGCCACTGCCCTACCCCCCAATCCCCCCCCGCCCTCATCATCCCGGGGCCAGGTACCAGGCAACTAGAGACAGCCCCTACAGCCCAGAGCCCACCAAAATTACTCAGACTAGCCAATCCTAACTCCTCTTATTTTGCCTTGCCTTGCTTTTCCCATGGTAAGCACAATCAAGACTTATGCCCAAGCTTTCCCCTTGCTCCTTCTGACTCCCGACCAGTCCGGGTGCTTTGCTGAATGGCCCTGTGTGGCCCTGTGTGGCATGGTGTGCCCCCTTCCCCTTGGGAACCGTGAGCCACAAACTGTCCTTCAATGGCAATCGTCACCTGACACACCTGCATGAAAACAAAATTCCGCACACGGCCTCATTTCCCACGTTCGGAGCATGTCAAGTGGAACCTCTCCCTTCGCATAACCAGTAATCCAAGCGAAACGAAGCCCGGAGGAGCATGCCAGGGGGAGTAACCCAAGGCTAGGGCCCTCTCGTGGCTTTCAAAGGGAAGTCCTGCGATTGTCCCTCTACTGGCCCAGATATTCAGAACCGAGAGTTACTTCAAAGGCCTTTGGGAGCCCTTCATTGTTTACACTGAGAATTTAGTGTCACCCTCACTAACTTCCCTCAGTTTGATCTTACTGGCTTAGTGTCTTTCAGAAATTTCAAAATGTTCTTCTTCCAATAATGGCCCTATAACCTACTCAACGGTGCAACTATCAACTATTTTTCTCCTTCCTCCCCTCTTTCACCTCCCACTCCTTCTCACTTTTCTTTGTTATTTCAATGGAATTGGGCAGGGGAGAAGGGGTTGCCAGTAGGAAGTCACATAGTGTTGTTTTTGTTTTTTTTTTAACCTGCATTTTACCTGCATTTTTTACCTAAAAATCGTATCAGTTGGGATTCAGTTGCATAAGCAGAAAGTTCTCTAGCTATTTTAGACAGGAAGTAGCTTGATCTAGGGAATTAAGTGCTTTCCAAACCGAATGGAAAGACGGAAGGAACAGGTTCTAGGCTGGGCTACCGGGAATGACTCCCAGAACAACGTTGCAAAACTGGTCTTCTCGGGCTTTCTCTACTGCAATCTGGAAACTGGGAATCTGGAACTACTATTCCATTGTTGGCGCTAGTCTTAAACTACTCTGACAATCAGAAAGCCACTGTAGCTGCTGTCTCCCCTAGCAATAATCTGTTGCCAGAAGGGTGGCTCTAAAACCATGGTGCCAATCTAAAACCATGATGCTTTGTGTGCTAGCACTTCTTTCTCCACTTAATTTAGTTCTGAGTTTGAATCTCCTTTGAATGTGTTCAACAGAACCTAAATCACATTCCTTACCTTTGCTGCAATAAAGTCTGAGAAATGCAGTTTTAGCTCTTTAGCTTCCATGGTACTGGAACATACTCCAAGAGAAAAGTGTCTATCAGGGAGCCAGTTTAGCGTATCTGCCATAAAAATATACTGCAGATATGTTTACGGGTACATATAGTGGTTTTTCATCCTTTTAGCTACAAGAGCTTCTGAGTTGATTCACTTGTTATTTTATAAGTTAATTATTTATATAATAGCAATTTGTCCCTTTTTTGAATATTATATTTTTCATTTCTTTATTCTGTCCTAAGGCAGTGACTAGGACATATAGTATGATGTTTAATAACAGAGATGATAGTGTATAACTAACTCATCTTGTTCTCATAATTCATAGTTACTTTTTTTTTTTTTTTTTTTTGAGACAGAGTCTCACTTTGTTGCCCAGGCTAGAGTGAGTGCCGTGGCATCAGCCTAGCTCACAGCAACCTCAATCTCCGGAGCTCAGCAATCCTCCTGCCTCAGCCTCCCGAGTAGCTGGGACTACAGGCATGCGCCACCATGCTCGGCTAATTTTTTCTATATATGTATTAGTTGGCCAATTGATTTCTTTCTATTTATAGTAGAGACGGGGTCTCGCTCTTGCTCAGGCTGGTTTCGAACTCCTGACCTCCAGCAATCCGCCCGCCTCGGCCTCCCAGAGTGCTAGGATTACAGGCGTGAGCCACTGCGCCCGGCCTATAGTTACTTTTAATGTTTCTTAAAATACATATCAAGTAAAAAGTTCCATTGTTCTAGCTTACTAATAGTTTTAGAAAATATTTTCTTGCTGTTTTGTTTTTGCTCTAAATGAGAAATTTGCTTTAAATTGGCACTATCAAGATAATTTCCTCTTCTTAAGAACAAGTAATATTTTGAAAGCCAATAGGTTCAGGTACAGAAATGAAAATAATGTCATAATTTGATGGCAGCTAGATTTGTGATTTTCATGTGGAATATGTAAGTAAAGGAAGTTACATTTATAGTATTTCTCTTTAATCTCTGTTGCAGGGACTAGTCGGGTGATCATTATTATAGCTTCTTCTGGGGAAGGTACAATTGCCAGGAAGACTACATTTGTCAGCTTCCCTTGCAGTTAGATTAGGGTCATGAGACTAGATTATAGCCGATGGAACATGAGTGAAAGTGATATGTCTAATTCTATGACTCATCCCTAAAATGTCCCATGGGACCTTTCATACTGTCTCCCTAACCCACATAGCAGGAGATAAAGGATTCCAAGATACTATTGCCCCTAATGAATAGAGCCCAGGTCCATAATCATTGCCTGGAAAAGAGCTGCTTAGGATAATTGTAAGATATGCATCAAAAAGTTGTGCAACCATCACCACTGTCTAATTCAAAAACATTTTCATCACTACAAAATAAATGCAGTATCTATTCCCAGTTACTTCCTATTTCTCCATCCCAAGCCCTGGTAACCAATAATCTTTCTGTCTCTATGACTTTTTGTGATTAGTTTCTTTCCCTTAGAATGATGTTTTCAAAGTTTATTCATGTTATAGAACATATTGATATTTTATTTTATTTTATGTTTGTTCCCCTTTCTCCACATCCTAATCAGCATTCATTATTGTCTTTTTGATAAAAGAAAGCCATTTTAACTGGGGTGAGATGATATCTCATTGTAGTTTTGATTTGCCTTTCTCTAATGAATAACGATGTCTAGCATTTTTTCATATACTCATTGGTCATTTGTATGGCCATTGGTCATTTCTCTTTTGAGAAATGTCTATTGAGATCTTTTGCCCCTTTTGTCACTGGATTATTTGATTTCTTCCTATGGAGATGTTTGAACTCCTTATATATTCTAGTTATTAATCCCTTGTCAGAAGGTCAGCTTGCAAATTTTTCCTCCCATTCTGTGGGTTGTCTCCTCACTTTGGTGACCGTTTCCTTTGCTGCACAGAAGTTTTTTAGCTTTATGTGATCCCATTTGTCCCAATTCTGCTTTGGTTGCCTGTTCCAAAAGCAGATTTTAGCAAGCAGAAGAAAAAAAATCAGCAAACATAAAGATAGAACAATTGTAATGATCAAACCTGAGGAACAAGGAAACAACAACAAAAGGACGAAGGAAAGTGAATAGGACCTGTAGGGTGCTATCGAGCAGACCAACATACCCATTTTGCAAATCCCAACAGGAGAGGACAGAGAGAAACGGGTAGAAAGAAGATTGAACGAAATTGTGGCTGAAAACTTCCCAAATTTGATGAACTACGTGAATCTACAAATCCAAGAGGTCCAACACACTTCCAAGCACAATTAACGCAAGGACACCCGCGTGGCGACACATCATAATCTAACTGTTGAAAGGCAAACACAGAGAATCTTGAAAGCAGCAGGAGAGAAGCCAGTCATCACACATAAGGCATCCTTAATAAGACTATTAGGCAATTTCAGAACTTTGGAAACCAAAAGGCAGTGACTTAATATATTGACAGCGCTGAAAGAAAACAACTGTCAGCCAAGAATTCTATACCTGGCAAAAGTATGCTTAAAGAATGAAGGAGAAAATTCATTTAAAAATTCATAAGCAACCCAAATGAATCACTGTACCTGTATGTTTCAATAGCTCGCATATCTTCTTCATCGAATTCATCCTCAGCTTCCTTCAATTGTGCAAGGTTCATCTTTTCATATGGCTTAACTAAGGCAACATAAATTGTAGATAATCAAATTGTTTGAAAATGATTCTTACTTTATGGCCAATGTCCAGAACAAACAGTATCTTAGATAAATGGAGATCAAGAATATCATAAACAAACTTAAAGCAGCCAGCCACAAAACAGCTTTTAATGATATTTTATATTATATTTTATATTATAAATAGCTTTATATTTATATTGTAATGTTATTACTCCCTCAAAGTTCACAGAACTGACAAGCCACATTTAAAAGTAGATGTGAAAATCAATTAGACAACTTAAGTTTAGATTTCCCCCAAGTGCCTGGAAATCCTGACAAATAATCCATACTATAGAGAATGATCAAAATAGAAGGTAATCACAAGGTAGAGGGATTATGGTGGAAGAAGACAGCTCACTAGGTTACATATCTAGTGCTATTTTAGTGTTTGTATTAACTAGTACGTGATTTTCAACATGTGAATTAGCCATTTTAGGTCAGTATCCTAATTTTGAATAGTAGGGAGGTTTATATTAAATTATTTCTAATATTCTCTCTCCCTCTATGTTCGTGAAATATGGTATTACTACCTTAATTGTATTTATTACCCCTTTCATCCAGCCCACCAAATGCACCACTGTACCCATTGCTTCTTTCTGTAAACGCAAAACCATTTCTTCAATTTCATCTTTTGGCTCTTCTTTTGGAGGAAGAATACCAAAATCTCTTAAAATTTCATTCCATTCTGTATCTTCATTGGGATCCTACACAAAAGAAAAGAAAATCTATTAACATAGTTGTGCATTTTAATATGTATTTGTAAAATTGACTGATATGTAGCACTTTCAAGTATGCAATTGTTCATGAACTCTAAGGACAAGAAGTTTTAAAGAATAAAGCAAAGTGACCTACTTTGTCCTACTTCTTGGTACTAATGTGATTACATGTTACACTGAAAACTTTAACAAAAAAATCAACTTAGAACACATATATCAAATATTAAGGAAATAAACTCGTAAGTCATAGAAAATTCGCTGATGACTATAGAGAGCAAAACCAATTCACATCATGCAAAAATACAGTTTGGTTTCTGTTTCTACATAAGTATTCAATCATTCAGATGAACTTACTTCTATTTTCAGCTACACTATTTTATCAATACATTCCCTCTAGCAATGCACAGGGTTCCAATTTCTCCACAACCTTATCAACACTTTTGTTATTTTCTGGTTTTCTATTATAACCACCCTAGTGAGTATGAAGTGGTTTGTCATCCTAGTTTTGATCTGCATTTCCCCAATGATTAGTGATGTTGAGCATTTTTTCATGTGCTTATTGGCCATTTGTATATCTTTTTTTTTGGAGAAATGTGTATTCAAGTTTGGTTTAGGCCATCTTGTGCTGGTATAACAAAATACCTGAGGACTGGGTAATTTATAAAGAATAGAAATTTAATTCTCAGAGTTCTGGAGGCCAGGGAGTAGAAGATCAGGGGAGTAGAAGATCAAGGCACTGTCATGTTCCATTGCCTGGTGAGGGTCTGGTCTCTGCTTCCAAGATGGCACCTTGAATACTGTCCTCTAGAGAGAAGTGATGCTGTTTCCTCACATAGCAGATACAGAATAGCAAAAAAGGGACAAACTACCTCCATCAAGCCCTTTTATAAGGGCAGCTAATTCCATTCACAAGGTAGGAGACCTCATATCTCAGTCACCTCTTAACAGTCCCACCTCCCAATACTCTCAGACTGGAAGCACCTGGATTTTGAAGAGGACACATTCAAACCATGGCCAAGTCCTTTGCCCATTTTTAAATTGGGTTGTATTTTTTGTTGTTATTGTGTTTTAGGAGTTCTTTATGTAGTCTAGATATTATCCCGTTATCAAATACATGATTTGCAAAAATTGTCTCCCATTCTGTGGGTTGTGTTTTCACTCTCTTGATGGCAACTTCCAATGCACAAAAGTTTTAAATTTGGTAAAGCCCAATTTATCTATTTATCCTTTGTTGTTTGTGCTTTTGGTGTCACGTCTAAGAAATCATTGCCAAATCCACTGTTATGAATCTTCCCCTTGCATTTTCTTTCAAGAGTTTCCTAGCTTTAGCTATAGGTCTTTGATCCATTTTGAGTTAATTTTTGTATTATAATCTAAAGGATTGAACTTCATCTTTTGCATGTGGATTATCTGGTTTTCTCAGCATCATTTGTTGAAAAACAAAAACTGGCCTTTCCTCATCGAATGGTCTTGGCAGCCTTCCTAAAAATCATTTGAAAATATGTGTGGGTTTATTTCAAGATCTCTCTTCTATTCCATTGGTCTATATATGTGTCTTCATGTCTTCGTCAAAAGCACACTATTTTGATTAAGGTAGCTTTGTATCAAGTTTTAAAATCAGGAAGCAAATGTCCTCCTACTTTGTTTTTCTTTGTCAAGTTTTGGCTATTTGGGGTCCCATGACAGTCCCTATGAACTCTGGGATTGGTTTTCCTGTTTCTGCAAAAAAAAATTGCATTTTAACAGGATTGCACTGAATCTGTAGATCAATTTGGGTAGTACTGGCCTCTTGACAATATTAGGCCTTCTAGTCCACGAACATGGTATATCTTTTCACCTACTTATGTATTTTTAAATTCCTCTCAGCAATGTTTTGTAGTTTTCAGCATCAAAGTCTTTTGCTTTCGTGGTTAAGTCTATTCCTAAGTATTTTATTCTTTTTGATGTTATTGTAACTGGAACTGTTTTCTTAATTTCATTTCAGAGTGTTCATTGCTACTGCATAGAAATGTCTTTATCAAAATAAAATTTTAAGGTCACTTTTTATTGTTTATTTCTCCTTGCAGATATTTTGAAACAGGTCTTTTATTTTTATTTTCACACTAAGCAGTTCACACACCCCCCTCCCTGTTGGCATGTGCACGGAAATAAACCCTTTATTCGTGGCAACCCTCTCTGTCTCAGTAATTGGCTTTCTGTGTTGAGGGCAACATTGAACCCCCTTGTGGGTTTGGTAACAGCGTGGGGAGGACAATTAGATTGAATTACCCGTGGGGCTAACGTTAGGAGTCTATTTTCTCAAGTCGAAACAAGCGCAGCAAGATTTCTAGGATTCAGGTGTGAAACGCAATACTCAGCAACTCTGAACGTTTCCTCCAGCAGCAAACCCACGTCTGGAAGGCTGAAAAAAAATGGCATGCTCCTAGAGTTGATCTGAATTTCCCTCAGAACTAGACAGGGACGCACGCAAAATGCAGCACTTGCCAAGAACAAATGTTAGGACCTGACCTAAACCTAACTTCCGTGGCCGCCGCCCTCCCCATTGGTGTCGCTCAGCCTCAGTGTCACCCGGTGGCCTGCGCCCTCACCTGCATGGTGTTCTGCTCTGCCGCTCACGCGCCAGGACCGTCCTGTCGCCCCGAGGTGCTCCGGGCTGAGCCCCGCAGCCTCCTCAAGGCGGGAAGAGAGCCAGCTGCAGGCCTAGCGGTTTCCAACGCCCATCTGGGAGCAGGAGGGGAGATCAAAGGCGTCGACGCACCTGCGCCACGTGCCGCCCTGTTGCCAGGCAACCCAGATGCGGAACCTAGGAGACGCTGGGAGTACCGGTGCCCTAGGTCCCCGAGCTTCTTCTACACCAAGCAGTGCCTTTCCTGTTCGCTGCGAGCCCCCGGCTGCTGGCGTTCCTCTCCCCTTCCCTCCACCACCACCCCCAGATCAACCAGCTGTCTCCCAGCCTCTGGGTCCCTCCCAGCCCTGAGTCCTGTCTCCACGGAGAAATAACAGACTCCTGGGATGGAGAACCCTTCAGAGGAGGAGTTCTTAACCTGGGACCATAGACTATATTTGGGTAGATTTTAGGGGACACCTAGCTGCCAGCCCCCAAGTGTACATTTTTTCTGGACTTAAGGACTTTTGCTTTCATCAGATTCTCAAATGGGACCCTAGGCTCCCCATCTCCATCTTAAAAACCCAATGGTCCAATCCTTTAACTAATGTAGTAGCTTCAGTTGGTATTCACATTCTAAGGTTGGTACCTCTTGGACATTCTGGTATTTATAAGAGCTGGTGATTTTGTCACTGCAAATCCAAATAGGTAAACTAAAGTAGCTCATTAATACTCTCAACTGTCTATGAGTGCCTTTAATGAAAATATAATAAAAGCATGTGTGCCAGTACTGTCAAAAACTACAGGGATCTAGGGAACATCATTATTTACAAGTTTATTACTTGTAAATTACTTGTTTATTACTTGTACTTGTATTACAAGTTTATTACTTGTACTTGTATTACTATTTATCATTAAATACACAAAGAAACAATATTTTAAGATGCTTTTTTAATTTTCAACAAATTACACATTTACGATTACCAACCTAATTTTACTAGGAATGTTTATAATACAGGGATTTTCAACACAGTAAATTTAACAAGGATGGTTTTTGAGAAGAAAACAAAATGTCAGTATATTTTATAATCCATAGCATTGTTTCAGTGGAAAATTAGTTGGCAACCTGTAAAAAAAAGAAAATTGAATTAAATTCAAGTGTAAAATGACTGTGAATGTGTGCATATAATGTTTGTATGCAGACATTTCTATAAATATTTTGTCACAGAATAACATTGGCATCCGAGATATTTCCCAGCTGTTATTAAGTCTGTATATTTTAATGTATATATCATTCAATCACTCTTTAATGGAACACTTATTCTGTGTGTCTGTGTCTTCCAAAAGTTTATAGTAGTTAATGACATAAAAGTGGTTTCCTAAAGCTCATTAATATCAATAAGATTTATGATTAAGGCATTTCAAAACTTGCATTTATCCCTTGTGTATCTATTTCCCCATATATTTTCCGTTAAATCGTTCTATTTTATGTTTAACCACTTTCTAAATAAATATAAGTTATCAGGATGGAGAAAGACCTTAAATAATCAGATGAGAAAAACAAAGAAAAATGATTATCAAAGTGTTGTTCTATTGGCAAAATAAAATGAAATCTTGAGTAAAATAGCTTGTGTATACCCAAACCTTTGAAATAACCTAAATAAAGCAATTTTTCTCAACTTCAGAGAGAATTTTTTATTAAATTGATTTCAAATTGTGAATACTCTAACACTTACTTTGGTGTTACAGCCACAAGTATTTTTTTCCATGTAGTATTAAACTATTATTTTTTACATTTTGTAAATGCCAATGTACATTTGTAATATTATAAAAGATAGAGTTTGTTTTCCATTAATTCTCTGTTCTTAGTTCCTTAAAAAAATAAAAATATTAAGAATATATCTTCTCATATTCCTCATGTGAACATAATTTATCAGGCCTCTTCTGAAAGAGGAATTAATACCAAACACAGTTTGCAAACTCAAGTTTCTAATTATGTCCCATGAGCACAATTTCTGAGGTCAATTCTCCTTCACTTTTCCAATATATGTATCTTTTTATTTCTTTCTTATCTAATGGAATTGGCTACTGCATTAAGAACTACATTAAATAAGTGAGAGTGTATCCTTATTTTGTTTCTGACATTAATAGAAATGCTCCAAAATGTTTCACTATCAAGACTGCTACTGTACTAACTTTGTCTGAGACCACTGTATAAAGAATGTCAAGAAAGGATTCACCTCTTTTTATAAGATCTTCTTTTAATAGATCAGAAATTGACGTGGGCCGGGCGTGGTGGCTCACGCCTGTAATCCCAGCTCTCTGGGAGGCCGAGGCGGGCGGATTGCTCAAGGTCAGGAGTTTGAAACCAGCCTGAGCAAGAGCGAGACCCTGTCTCTACTATAAATAGAAACAAATTAATTGGCCAACTATATATATAGAAAAAAATTAGCCGGGCATGGTGGCGCATGCCTGTAGTCCCAGCTACTCGGAAGGCTGAGGCATCAGGATTGCTTGAGCCCAGGACCCGGGAGTTTGAGGTTGCTGTGAGCTAGGCTCACACCACGGCACTCACTCTAGCCTGGGCAACAAAGGAAGACTCTGTCTCAAAAAAAAAAAAAAAAAGAAAAGAAATTGACGTGGAATTTTACCAAAAGCATCTACTGATCATCATATAATTTTTCTTCTAATGGTAAAATATTTTAATGCACTTCCTGATGTCAAACCATCCTTGAATTGCTGAAACAAATCTCATTTAGTGGGGTCATATAATTCTTTAAATATACTGGTGAATACTATTTACTATCATTTCTTTTAAATTTTTGCATTGATATTTATAAATAGGATTGATTTGCAGTTTCTTTTGTATACTATTTTTGTACGTTTATAGTATTAGTGTCATTATTCTGGCTTTATAAATATATTTTAAGATTTTTTTCTTTTTCCAAAATAAAAAATTTCAAAATTGTTGGCTTAGTACTTTTTAGGGGATAGTTTCTAGATCACATTTTCAATATTTTTCCATAGCTATTAGTCTGTTCAGTTTTTTTTCTTTTTTCTGAGGTCAATTTTGGTAGCAATTACTTTACTAGAAAATCTTCCATATTATCTAGGTTTCCAAACAGATATACACAGAGATGTGCAAAATACTCTTTTATGATTTTTATTTCTCTTATATGTTTTAATTTGTCTTTTCATTTGTATATTTATGATTTTTCCATTTTTTTATTACAATAGGCTAATTAGGCTAGTTTATTTTATTTTTTGCAAAGAATTGGATTTTTGCTGTCTTTACCAATTCTTCTATTTTACTATTTTTTATTATTTTGTTTTTATAACTTTCTTCCTTCTGCTTTCCTGAAATTCACCTTGTTCTTTTCTGACCTATTGAGTTAATTTTTTTTTTCTGAGACAGAGTCTTGGTCTGTTGCCCTGGTGCTCTGGGTAGAGAGTACAATGGTATACTCTTGCCTCTTGCCTCAGCCTCCTGAGTACTTGGGACACAGATGAGTGCCATGAAGACTAGCTAATTTTTCTATTTTGAGTAGAGATGGGTCTCCCCCTTGCTCAGGTTGGTCACCAACTCCTGAGCTCAAGCAATCTTCCTGTCTTGGTTTCCCAGAGTGCTAGTATTACAGGCATGAGCCACCACTATGCCCAGCCAGAGTTAAATTCTTGTTCCATTAATTCTTTCTTGCTTAGTTTAAGGCCTTAAATTTTCCAATGAATGACTTTGACAGAATCCCCTAAATTTTAATATGCAGTGTTTAATCTTTTTTTCTAGATATTGTATAATTTTGGTGTTGATATCTTCTTTAGTTATAAATGGTACATTTTGGTTTATCTTTCAGAAAATATTAAGACTTTTAACATTCCTATGCTAAACATATTTAAGGATTGAGATAAATGAAATGAATGATGAGTCTGTAAAAATATGTTCAGCATAGAATCTGGATTTAGGATTACACAAAGTTAGTAGAACATACTTTTAATTCTGTGCTGCAAATTTATCCATCTGCATTTGGGTTGTATTTCAAAATTTATAATCTAATAAGATGTTAGGATTAATATATTTATTAAAGATGTGGGGCCAGTTAACAGCTACTAAGTTTCCATTGTATGCCAAACACTGAGGTGAATACTCTGGGAGTACCAAATAAGGCGTGCTGTCATGTCTTTCCAGATTTTCTTAATTCTCTAGAAGCAGGCAAATCACAGGCTTTTATAAAGAACCTCTGAGTATGAGTAATTTGGAAGACAGAGGTACATTCAGTCTGTACATCCTGGCCCATTATGGTAGACACCGATTGCCACAATAAGAATTCAGTCCCTTATACTTGCACAATAAATGATGAGATCAACGTCTACAAAATCAATTATGATGATTACTATTCTGGCATAGCCTGAGGAATACATGACATGGGCAAAGCAAATCTAGCCCTAAAATATTGGTATTTTCCATCATATAAAGCCCTCACAGCCCCTATAATTACAGTATTTATGTAGAATATTAGTGCACATATGCAATCAGATAATAGAAATATATTGAGCATAGTTTAATTTGTGAATATTTGAAAATAACAGAAATTTTCAACCTGGGTTGAATTATGAAACACATACCATTTTATTTTTATTCATTTATTCAACACATACCATTTTAAATGAAACCTGCGGACCTTCTTCCATTGCGTGGCTGAAAAATATTAAATAATAAATTAGAAATAAATCAGTGTAACTAAGGATAGAAGTTAATATTCATAGAAACAGACTAATGGTCTAGAGGAGTGTTTCCAAATGTGTATCAGAATCATAAACTCACCTGTAGGGATTTTTACAACACAGACTGCTGGACCCCATAGCTGGAGTTTCTGATTTAGTAAGTCTGAACTAAAATTTGTTGTTTCTAACAAATTCTGAGATATTGCTAAAGTTTCTGAGAAGCACAATGAATTAGATAGTATTTGATATTGCTTATTTTCTTGATGGTACCAAAATTTTAAGACAAATGTTCTCAATTTTAATTTGATATGAACCAAAATTAATTTACTGAAGTCAGAGTTAATGAATTCATTAAATAAATGTATAAAGTATTTTTCAATTTTGATATTAATTGATTTTAAAACAAATACAGTACGTGCATACCCTGAATAAAAAGTATCCTCGACTTCGGCTTGCAAAAGGAGTTTGGGATTCTTCCTGGAAGAGAAAATGAGGGCATAACAAATCAAATAGCACTAAAAATAAGTGCAAATTCTTCTTGAGAGTATAGTGAAGGTCAAAGTACTTTCAACTATCATAACTAAACAAAGAGTGAATCAAGGACTTGAGTAGAGAATCTTTGTGTTTATATCCCAAAATTTTCAACAACTGGTAATATCATCAGAATAATATATTTAAAAATAATTTCCTTATCAATCTTACAGATTCTTCTTTCAGATATTTTGTCAGTTGTATGTGTATTCATTGTTGAAAGAGAAATCACAGACACTTCATAATTAACTGTATTTAAAATCTCCTTGAGGCATTTTGTTAGAATGAAATAATTTCTTTAAAATACACATTGTATGTCATAACACATGAACAGGAAAAAACATAAAATAGAATTGTGTCAAAGTTAAAAAATATATGGTATTTCTATAGAAGTGTAGATTGAAATTGGGGATAATTTTGTAAAATTTTGTGAAATTGGGGATAAAGTTGTATTTAATACAACTTTAGAAGAGATTTTCCTAATATATGTAACAGAATGGTAATTTTAAAAATGCCAAATAGAAACAAACCAGTTATTCATAATGGATATATTGCAGTGTTTCTTTTCATAAGCATTTCATTTTAAACTTCATGAAAAAATATTGAACAATTTGTGGTTTCCATAAAACTGGCTTGTAGTTTCCTATTTTCATTAATAATTACCCATATCATAAAAGTATTATCAGGATGACAACCACCATGAAATTTATCAGCCAAGACTTTTTTCAACTATCCCATAATATAAATACAATCATATTCTTAAAGTCTAAGAGCCAAGACTTTTTTTCAACTATCCCATAATATAAATACAGTTGTATTCTTAAAATCTAAGAAATGGCTCTGATATTTATTTAAATTCTGAAATGCTTAATTTACAATGAATATATCTTAAATTCTCAATATTTGCACTTAATTCTCATCTTTAACCTCCAAATTACTTAAGATTGAAAAATTAGAATTTAAAAATGTACACATATTGTATACATACATCAAAACATCACATGTACCCCCAAAATATGTACAACTATATCAATAAAAATATCTAAAAAAGCTTTTCAAAAATTTAAAAAATAAAAAGGTACACATATTAACTATATGCTTACATGTCTATAAGTTCTCACTTATATTAAAGAGAAAAAAGAAACAGGCAAAACATAAATGAAAATGTACAGAATATTCAAAACTTTCAAATGAAAACCCCAAAATGTACAGAGATAGCTATTGAGTCTCATCACTGGACACAAAGCAGTGTATAAAAGAATCTGGGAGGCAGAGATAAGCCAAAGATGTGGGGATGGAAGGAGAAGATGTCTACCAAGCAAGATTCAAGAAAAGTGTTTGAATGCATTAAGATCCAAAAACTCATTTTCTTTAAGACTTCAGAATATCTTGCTATCAAAAATACATTTTAAAATTAGGTGATTTAGGTCCAGCAAAGCTAACACTGTAATGTTTTTCTATTCGTCTCTTGCATTCTTTTCTTTCATAGGTTCCTAGGAAACTTGACTTGCTGCAAAATACTTTTAAGATTTATAATTCATCTGACAAGCTATACTATTAAGAGTTTCAGCAAGTTGTCTGGAAATAGACATGGTGTCACTCAAGGTAGAAAATTCAGACAAAGTGCTGGCAACAATACTGTTGAGCTTTGGTTGTGTAAATAATGGCACTGAAATAATGTAGTCAAACTAATATTTGTTTTCGTATTAATACTTTAAGAAACTTGGATCTTTCAGTTGACATTGTATATACTATTCATAAGTCAAGGAAACACTTTAGGAAGTAAAAGTTAACTCAGCAAAGCATATATTACTTCCAGGAAGTTTGATGACAACTGACTTTTTTTTTTCATTCTGGAAATTCTAAAATTTTAAGGGGCTACTACACTTGCTTTTACATTTCTCTTTAAAGTTGGCAGCAGACACTGTCTTCTTTGATGGAAGCTTAGTTTAAAAATGTGAAGAATTTAGGGAGGAAATAATGGCCATAAAAATAAATTTTGAGGAATTTATTCACCTAAACTGTATGCATTTTAAAAATATTTGAAGATTCCAGGTAGCGCTTTAAGAAGAATAAAATAAATATGGTATTGATATTAAGTAAAAATTTGACCTGAATTCAACTTTTAATAATAAAGTATATAATTTAGCAATAACATAATAAAAGTATCCAAGATTGATCTATAAAGGGAACAGCATAGTGAAAAAAAATGTGCCTAGACTAGAAGTCAGAAGACATTGTTGTAATCTCTCTTACTAGCTTGGTCTTATTAGAAGGGGAGGTCTTACTCTCTTACTAGAAGGGGAACTCCTTCAACTATTCTGGGTTAATTTCCCTTTTGTAAAATGGGAATAGCAATACTTGTATAAGGAATTTTTTTTATTCCATTATATTATTGGGGTTCAGATATTGTTAGGGTTACATATATTGCCCCTGCCACCCCCTCCCCCACTTGTATAAGTATTAATACTAACAGAATTCCCCAAAAGAATAAAATGAGATAATATAAGACTGAAAGTTATAATGTATTACAACAATGTAAGGTATCACTTAAAAATAATACCTAGAAACTTTTAGGAATAAAAGAGGATTCACCTTAAATCACAATAAAAGCTACACAATTCCTCCTACTTAAGAATGTGTTAACTCAGTTATATTCATCTTAGGTATACCTAGACACTGGGTTTAGGTCATATTTTTGCTAAGTGTGGAAAAAACCAAAATATCTATATTTAGTGTCTGATGTAGCTACTTCATGAGTCTCACTCTTACCAACATTTTAAGACTTGGCGAGAACCGTTGCCATCCTATAATAGCTATTTACCCAAATGGATACAGAGGGGCAGTAAATTGTCCTTTATTTGTTCTCCTACCTAACGACTAGACACACTATAGTGTCCTTTCTTTTTTTTTTTTTTATTTCAGCATATTATGGGGGTACAGATTTTAAGGTTTCAATAAATGCCCATTTCCCTCCCTCCCCCCAAAAGTCTGAGTCTCCAGCATGACCATCCCCCAGATGGTGCACATCTCACTCATTATGTATGTATATACCCGCCCCCCTCCCCCCTCCCACCTGCCCAATACCCTATTACTGTAGTACCTATGTGTCCACTTAGGTGCTGCTCAGTTAATACCAGTTTGCTGGAGAATATATCTGGTGCTTGTTTCTCCATTCTTGGGATACTTCACTTAGTAGAATGGGTTCCAGCTCTAACCAGGAAAATATAAGATGTGCTATATCACCGTTGTTTCTTAGAGCTCAATAGTACTCCATGGTATACATATACCACATTTTATTAATCCATTCTTGGATTGATGGGCACTTGGGCTGTTTCCACAGCTTTGCAATTATGAATTGTGCTGCTATGAACATTCGAGTGCAGGTGTCTTTTTTGTAGAGTGTCATTGGATCATTTGGGTAGATGCCCAGCAATGGGATTGCTGGATCAAATGGTTATAGTGTCCTTTCTTGAACCAAAGGATAGGTTTTCTCGCTGGGAGGGTCATGGCTTTTGCAAAAGAGTATAATCCCAGCTTGTGTTATAATGGACATAATGGGAGTCAGGGGGAGTGTGAACAATTCTCTCCTTCCTGAGTGTGAAGACAGCTCTGCAAACAGATGCCCTTACATTGGCTCCCTGGGTGTTAGTGTGGACTTATCCTGCAGAACAGTATTTTATCAGCCACCCCAGCTAGGAACGAACAGAGGGGCTGCCCCACACAGGATGGCAAAGCCAGCATGCAGTTGGTGTCACATACGTTCGCTTTGAATCTCTTCATTCTTCTCTCGTTCAGTTGAGGCACGAGCTGCAGCAGGGGATGCACAACGGACGACTGGGAGGACATGAACACACACAGATGAGCACAACGGCTCCTCGGCACTGGGCATAAAGACGGTTTCCTATTTGCTTTTACCCACTCTACTTGTCCCAGAGAAAAAAGAAAATTAAAGATGTCATCTGTGAACTAAAAATAAACTCCTAAGTTCCAGCTCCGCCCCCACCCCCTGAACAAATGGACCCCATTAAAGGGTTCTATAAAGCACGACTGCATAGGCACATGTTTCTCTTTCCATAAGTATTCGTGGCTCCTCCCATAGCGGGTAAATACGTATATTTGGCCATCTCGCTCCGGCCGGGGGCTCTGCTTTCCAGCCCGCCAGAATGGCCACCCGTGGACTGCAACCTTTTATGAGAAAGGAAGCTCTCCTTTCCAAATTCCGAACCTTGTTAACATTTTTTTTTCGGTTAACATATCAAAGACAGCCCTTTGTTAGCAGTTCAAAGAACTGTGGAGAATAAGCCGAGAGATGGAATAAAATTTGATAGCTCTACATGAGGGTTTTTGTCATTATATTGAAGCACTTTTTTGAGGGCCTCTGCGCTCCTGTCAGCTGCAAAAATCAAACCTCCTCTGGCTGCATCTTTGAGAGGCAGGAAGCAGTTGCTTCTAGACTTACTCAAAATGATTTGAGTCAGATGAAACCAACGCTGTGAGTAGCAGTTTTCCATCATAAACGTATTTATTTGGAAGATTATACTGTACACACATCTAGTAATCTCCTCCTAATAAATTATATATTTAAAATAGAAACACACTGAGCAAGACAACAGGGAACACAAAAATGACCATGTGCTGTTGACAGTGAAAAATGTGGTTAAGATACATTTTCTCCATAGGTAAAGATGCCAAGCAGAAGAAAAGGAAAGCACACTTGAGACATGTACCTAGCTACCTGATATGGCTGCATTTTTTTAAAGGTATGGATTGAATTGAGCCTTGTCCCTAATATTAAATCTATTTATCAAATGGATTATGTTGAGCCCTATATAATGCTTATCTGTTAACCAATTCAACTTGTATTTGGTGTAAGCCAGTATAATCTAACTTCCAACTCCTCATATGCATGAGTATTCCATGTGATAAATATTTAAAACTGAGTTTAAGATTACAATGACCTTTCCACAGGTATGAACATGCTTAAAAACACTATGTTCCTCATTCCCTAATTTTGTTCATAGTAGTGAATCACAAGCTTACAAATATTATAGTCAAATAAATAATTACTAATTATTCTAGATTGAAACACCAAAGAAAGTTGGTTAGCATATTTTAAATCCATGCATACAAAATGAAAAACTACCACCAAAACCACATGATTTTGAAGTGAATTGAATTTAAGTTACTGGTTTATGGCTAATTTTAGAGAGTAAATTTTCACATTAAATGCCTAATTACTAACAAGGAGATATTAGGAATAGAAAAGGATTTTTCTGGTCATATTTAATTACATTTTTGACAAACATCTTTTAAAATAATTTTTAAAATGCCTTAGGATAAAACTATTTTTCCTTTGCAACAATTGTCATCTAAAACAATATGTTTTGCCTATTTATTTGCTTTTATTACACCTGTAAAATGTAAGTTCCATGAGAGCAGAGATTTCTTTTTTTAATTTTCCACAGTATTTATTGCTATATTTCTAGTACCTGGATTGTGCCTGGCACACAGCACACAGTAGACACTCAGTAAATAATTGTTGAATGAACGAATGAATGAATTTAATGTACATGCAGTTATTGATAGATAAACTAAAATGTATAACAGATATTGGATATTTCTATTTGTTCATCTACATATAAACTTTTAAAGTAAAAGCCTGAATTTTGATGCATTAGCTTTATTAGGTAAACTGCAAAAAAAACAGGGTTTTTGTTTTTAAACAAATGCTAGTGATTCCTAAGAAGTAGTTTTACAACTTACCACAACATTTGAATTGTCCAACTTCTGTGTCTTCGAATAATGAAATAAGAACTGTTTAAAAAAAAAAGCAGTGAGTTTTACTATAAAACATTAGTTGTTTCCTTTACTATTTTTAATGTATATATTTATGAAAATTATCTTACCCTTTTGGTATTATCTTTTTCATCTTGTTCCTATTGAAAAGATATATATCATTATACTATATGTAAAATGGTATTAAATTATACTACATATTATATAGCATACACAAAGTACTATAAAATTTCATACTATATATTATATGCTATGTATGTTATAATCTAAAATTTTATAATATAGTCTAAAATTATGTCATATTTTTAAGAATACATGACACATATGTTACATATAAAATATAACACTGAAATAGGTTAAACATCTGTTGCTCTAAAAATAAATGGGAAATGAATTAAATACTGTTTATAAATAAAGAAGTAAAAAAAGACCTGTACTGTAACATTATTCATAAGAGTAAAAAATTGGAAACATCCTAAATATTCAACAGTGGTGGAATGGGAAATTATGATATAATCACCTGATGGAATATTCAGAGAAAAACACTAAAAGAATCACATCAAAATATTTGTAGTGGTTATCACTAAATAATAAGATTATGAGGGTTTTTTTTGTTTCTTCCATAACTTTTCTTTATTTTTTCCTCCTGCCAAAAATGTGTTTTTTAAAAAAATATTTTTTAATTAAAAAAATCATCCCTTTTTGTTCTCATCTTTTATCTTAATTAGGAAAAAAGTCGATTTTGGAAAATGTCGCCATTAAGAACCATGATAATATATAATTGTAAACACGGATTATTTAGTTTCAGGAAACATTTATGCTCTCAAATTTTCTTTGAACTATTACATGTGAAAGCCATGGAAGTCAGAGTGCAAATGATCACAGGTTAAATTAGAATTGCAAATGAAAAATTTAATTCTAAACCTGAGGCTCTTATCTTTAATAGGGTAATTTAAAAATAAGTTCACATAAGATAAGATAAGATACAGGATATAAAATTAGGTATTATGCTTATGCTATTTTTCAAGTTCCCACCTACCCTCACTTGAGAATAAAACATTCCCCCAAAAGAATCAAATAATTTTAGTAAGAAACCAAGACACAAAAGTTAGAATATAATTTTCAAACTGACATTGATAATAGTTTACTTTTTTTGCACTCTTAATGTCCTACTCTCTAACAAAGTGCAATGTCCTAACCTCTGAACCATAAGATCTGTTTAGCAGCTTAGAAAAATGCATCTGTTCTCCAATATAGTATGAGTCAGGGTGAAAAAGAGAGCCAACATGACCTCAAATCTCTCCATCAGACTGGAACACATTTTATAGGTTTCCCATATGTCCCTCTCAATTAGATTACTGTAAATTCCATTAATATGACCCTAAATTCTCACACATCAGAGAAACTGAAATATTTGTTTCTTATCCAAAATCAATTTATTCTCTTCTAGCACCTCTTGGCATGCTTCCTAAATTGGGCATATTTTCTTCCAGGAGGAATTCCAAAAATTTGGGGGCAATTTTTTTGCCCACAAACAAAACACTATTTCAACCTTACCCGAGGCTTTAGCAGAATCCCCGTAAGCACAAAGCAAAGCTCCTCCAGTACTTTGGATGCCTAATGGAAATGAGAAGATATATAGGCTATGCTTCTGCTTTAACAATATTTGCACAGCAGATATAACTGTAAAATGTTAGGAGGACAAGGAAATGCCAACTACCTAGAAAAGAATCCTTCTTGTGGACCATTAAAACTGTTGGAATCCCTTGATTTCTCTTACAACAAAAACTTGGCAGCTATAAGTAAAACTATCCTTCCAATCAGAAAAAAAAAAAAGTTATGTACTGTATATATGCACTGATGAAAGCACCCACTGTGGTCTAGATACATAGTTCTCAGCACTTGCTAAGATGTTATGAAATTCTATGACTGAGAGTAACCAGGGACTGAGCCAAAAGAGGGGATTATTCTTGCTAGCTTGTAGCAAAATGTGCATCTACATGCCAAAGCTGTGAGCCTTGGAGAATATTACTCATTACTGGCTAATTTGAACACCCTGCAACTGCTTGCAGACAATGGGGATTGGAGGAGAAAGAAGCCATGCATGGTGCACCTAATCTGAGTACCACCCTTCCAGGGTGCTGACTGCGCATCCCAGGATCAGGTTTTTCAAAGCATTCGACCACAGAAGAGGGGCAGGGCTCCTTGTGGTTAGCAGCCAGCTGGGTGTGGTAAGGTAGCACAAATAGACAAGTAGGGGCGAAACCTACTTTGTACAGAATTTAGCACAGTTACTACCATGAATAATTGATTACTTAATAAATGCATTTTGGAAGTAATTAAGAGTTAAATAGTGTGTGTGTGGTGCAATGTAATTAGTGGATAAAAGCATGGGCTATGGAGTTGGGCAGCCTGCCACTGAATAGCAGTGTCAATTCCATCTCTCCTCTTCACTATCTGTGTTATGTTGGGCTGCTTACCTAACCTCTCTAAATTTCAGTTTCTTCAGCCATATATCAGGGATGACATCACTCCAGAGAGTTCTTGGAAGGACTGAATGTAAGTAAAGCCCTTGGGGTTTGATTTACAGCTGCAATTACTCTTCATTTAGAAGATAGGTGGAAAGAATTATTCAGGGCCACCAATATTCTCACCCTCTGAACAAAAGTCCATGCTCAACATGCTTGGTTGTGGTTGGGGCGCCAGCTGGTGCCATGGAAGTTTCTCTGGGCATCCTTGGCCAGGCATCAGCGGCCTGCTTTGTTCTCTTCACTCCATCTGTTGGTTCGCCATGCACATTGTTGGGATATTTACCAATAACGTCTCATATTGACACAGTGCTTCAATAAATGACAAAACATTCTCACACATAGTCACGCACCACATAATGGTGTTGCAGGCAATGACAGACCTCCTATCGACAGTGGTTCCCATAAGATTATAATGGAGCTGAAAAATTCTTATCACGTAGCAACATCTAGATGATCCTGACCCCGTGTAGGCCTAGGCTGATGTGTGTGTTTGTATCTTAGTTTTTAATAAGAAAGTATAACAGGTAAAAAAAATAAAATAAAATATTTTTTAAATTTAAGAAGTTTATATAAGAAAGAAAATATTTTTGTACAGCTGTACAATGTATATGTTATAAGCTAAGTGTTATTTAAAAACAGTCAAAACGTTTTCAAAACTTAAAAAGTATATTAAGTAAAAAAGTTATATAGCATGCTAAAGTTAATTTATTATTTAAGGGAAAAAAAGTTTTAAAATAAGTTTAGGGTAGCCTAAGTGTACTGTGTTTATGAAGTCTACGGTAGTGTACAGTAATGTCCTGGGCCTTCACATTCACTCACCACTCACTGACTCACCCAGAGCAACTTCCAGTCCTGCAAGCTCCCTTCATGGTAAGTGCCCTTATAGGTTACCATTTTTTATTTATTTTAATTTTTTTGAGACAGAGTCTTGCTTTGTTGCCCAGGCTGGAGTGAGTGCTGTGGCGTCAGCCTAGCTCACAGCAACCTCAAAGTCCTGGGCTCAAGCGATCCTCCTGCCTCAGCCTCCTGAGTAGCTGGGACTACAGGCATGCGCCACCATGCCCGGCTAATTTTTTCTCTATATATTAGTTGGCCAATTAATTTCTTTCTATTTATAGTAGAGATGGGGTCTTGTTCTTGCTCAAGCTGGTTTTGAACTCCTGACCTTGAGCAATCCGCCTGCCTCGGCTTCCCAGAGTGCTAGGATTATAGGCGTGAGCCACCACGCCCAGCCAATTTTTTATTTTTTATACTGTCTTTTACTGTACCTTTTCTATATTTAGCTACACAAATATTTACCATTATGTTACAATTGCCTACAGTATTTAGTACAGTAACATGCTGTACAGGTTTGTTGCCTGGGAGCAATAGGCTACACCATATAAACTGGGTGTGTAGTAGGCTAGACTATCTATCTAGGTTTGTCTAATTACACTCTATGATGTTAGCACAACGATGAAATCACCTATCTACACATTTCTCAGAACATGTCCCCATCATTAAGTGATGTGTGACGGTGCATAATTTGTATTCTGTCCTTAAAACACAACTATGAGATATACAGGAGAGGAATTGTTATTCTCATGTACAGAGGAAGTGAGGTTCTAAGAGACTGTCACTTGCCCAGTACCATACATGGCTAGGAGTTGGTAGAGTGAGGCCTAGGAGGTAGGACTTCTGATCTACTCCCGTAGATATTACTGTAACACATTGGTATTGCCTGTCAAGCCTGTAGTTGGGAGTTGGATAAGAAAAAGAGTAGAGTGTGAGTACTCGTACAGCCTTTTTTACTTATTGTACTTAAGGGCTGGTCACCCCATAACATTCTGGAACTAAAATCCCTAAATCTCCCTTTATGGCCCATTTTATAATGCTACAAAATACAAGACAATAAAAAGTAAATATCTAGTGATGTCATATGTCAAAGATGTACCTCAACTCAAAGAAGAATAAATTCACATATATGAGTTGTTTCTCTTTAGAAAATAATTTCTAACCCAGATGAGGTTCAGGAAGACTGAACTTTGACCAAAAAAGTTTCAACACAAATGCATTTTCTCCAGGTTGTCTTTACAAGAAGCCAATTCTCAACTATTCTGTAAGGATTTTTCATATACAAAATTATGACTATTTTATTTTTTAACTTATAGACACTAAAGATCCTTTGTTTCCTACTTGGTAAAAATGTTTTGAAGCACTCTTCAGATAATCACATAAATAATAAAATAATAGTTAATGTGAAAATAAATGATGTTTTAAAAAATGTATCAAATTTTTTACAGTTTACATTATAAATGTAAAGGACTCAAACAGTAAATTTACCAAGCTCTTCTTAAAAGACACATGGTACTTAAATCCAGTAAAACATTCGTTTATCTTGAAGGGGTTTAAATGAGTGCTTTAAAATCATCCTCCTAAGCAGTGAAGAAATAAAAGTGATTCTGAGAATGTTCCTGGGTTTTAAATATAACACAAAAGCTTCTATGCTGATTAATATCCATTCATGTTATGTATTTGTCAGTGCTCCTTCGGTAATTTGAAATAGTGTTCAAAAATGTCATCTCTTGTGATCCTGGTCTTGCTTTAGCATCTAATACCTCTAACTTTTCTGCAGCTGACCCTCTGCAGCCTGGGGAATGGGTTGAGGCAGGAGAAATGCAGCACTACCTACGGCTGCTTCTCCACATCAGCCAGGAAAACCTTCTAGAAGGACTGTGTGAAGGACAGCCTGGGCATCTCGGCCACATTATATAGGAGGTGTGCACCAGGCACACGGCTGGTGGCTGTGAATGACAGAGCAGGGAGTCTATGCCAAGCCCTCTTCTCTGTCCAAGGGACTAGTGTACGGATTAAGAAAGCCCAGGCAGGAAGACTAACGGCTCTATCTGCACGCACAGGTAGAGCTGCAGACAGAAGCAGCGTCGTCCAGCGAATACAATGTAAGAAGGTCATACTTACTTCCCACTCCTCGTGTTTCCACGCAGAGGAGCTAGACTAGCACTCCCGGCCTCTCCCGCAAACCCTCTCTCAATTCTTTCCTACTGCCTAATTAATGGGCGAATTGGGAGGAGGAAATTGGGCATGCTCGGTTCATCTCTTTGCTTTGAAGGAGCCACTGCTCTGGCCAGCTGTTCTTGTCTGGTCTCTGCCTGGTGGCTGGGAACTTGACTCTGCAGGAGGCCTGGAGTTACCGTCTGAGGCTTGCCTGGAGGCAATTTCAGCAAACACACTTGGCATCAGATCTAAACCACATTCACAAATTGATTTTTCAGTTATAATGATGATACTTGGACCTCTGTAAGTCTGACTCATAAGTTCATCTCTCAGTGGGTTTCAAACTCAACTGGGGGACAGGATATTAGCAGCCCCCAAATACAGCACTAGATACTGTATTTTTAATTTAACACAGAATTTGATTTTGAAATTAGCGTTTTAATTTGACATTCTATAATTTTCAAAATACGTGAATATTATCTGCAAATCTATTTTATTTAGAGATGAAAGCCGTAGCACCCTACAACACAAGCCCATAGTATTATTACTTGTAGATGATGTAATAATATCTAATATGCTGACATGTTTTCATGAGTACATAAAGGTCCAAAGGAGAAATGGAGAATATCAATACTGCACAAATGCCTATATTATTACAAAACACCCCCAAATGGAATTACCTGAGGCTGGGAATCAACAGACAGAAAAGACGAACAAGCATCATCTATCTGTAGAAAATAAAAATGTCAATTACATCCTGGAAACAGACAGAAAAATAGCAGAAAATAGAAGGTAGATTTTACAAAGGCAAGTTACCTACATAACATTAATCAAAGTTTCATGACAGTTCAGGACTCTGGATTTGGAAGAGAAGAGCCTCTAAAACTTGATAAAGTCCTGGCATTGAAATTTACCCCCAGGGCAAGATTTACCCCCAGGCACAGGAGTATACATCCCAGCGATAGTTGACAGGGATCATCCAAGATATAAAGATGCCTCAAACATTGGGTATTATTCAGCCTGAGAAATGTGATAGCTAACTACAGAATGATCTTGAAATTGAGGAGTACCTTCGGTTATCATGTGGTTCTTTAAGACACAAGAATCTAATATCACCTAAATGAACAGAATGATAGTATGATGAACAGCATGCAGAAAAAACTCTTCATACAACATAGGCAATCCACTGGTTCTCCATGGAACCAGGGTGAGAAAAGAGTTCTATTTTATAAAGAAGGTTTACTGAATAGCAGTCAGCAGCTAGCTGTGCTCAGACTTTATCCTAGAAAGAAAACTTGAGAGACTTTAAACTGTAGAATAAGAGACTTATGTTAATCATAAAAAAACTGTGCTGAGAATTTAAGCACTAAGCTGCAGGTCTGGAGTTATTTATGGCATTTCTTTCTTTATTGGCCTTTTAAAATGGAACTGGAAAAAATTGACACTGATTATTGTCTGTTTGGAATGATTTAGGGTGAGTCCTGTTTATGGCAGAACATCTCAGGGGCCCCTTATCAGGGTCCCAGAATTCTTTGTTGATGAGTTTAATTTAATTTGTATTCTCACACCCAACTGAAAAGGGGGGATTATTATACTTTTCAGTCATAATTTCTCAAGCTCCTTATTGCTTCCAAGTTGAATAAGTCCTAAAATATATAAGTCTCTAATTTAGAGAATAATAAAGGTATAAAATATTATGGGAAAGCATAAGCTTGTATCTTCCTCTTTTTTATCCTCTTGAACTTGTCATCTTCTCTATATATCACAACTATTTGGAGAATTGTTTTATTTCACTAATCCCTCGTACCCACCCACATGGACCCTCTTCCACACCATACAAATCCAGAATCATGAACACACACACACACACACACATACACACACACACACACACACACACACACACGGTGAGGGCGGGGGCCATGTCATATCTAACTTGCTCAGAGTAAGTGTTCAATAAAAATTCTTTAATTAGGCTGGGCGTGGTAGCTCACATCTGTGATCCTAACTAGCACTCTGGGAGGCTGAGGTAGGCAGATGGTTTGAGCTCAGGAGTTCAAGACCAGCCTGAGCAAGAGCGAGATACCATCTCTACTAAAAATAGAAAGAAATTAGCTGGACAACAATATTTAAAATATTTTATTATTTAAAAAATAAAAAAGTCTTTAATTAAGTTAACTTGAACTTGTAGGAAAAAATACAAAGAGAAGTAAACTGAGAGGGGAAAGCTAAAAAGATACCCTTTGAAAGTTCTGACTTTTGAGCAATGCTTACTACAACACCTTCAAATGTTATCTTCTGTACTTTAGTACGGTAGGGGGAAGCAGCTCCTCCTGAAACCTGTGTGGTGTGTAGTTATCTAAGAACATTACACACTCTCGGGGAAAGCTGTACACCCATAGACCAGGCTGCCCAGCTAGGTGAGGGGCCCATGCCCCAGAACAGAGAACCCTTGAATCTCAAGAAATCAACATCACCTGAATAAAAACATCAGAATCTTTTTTTAATCCAGTTAATCAAATTAGGAGATAATTGCAAAGCTTTTCAGTCTTTCTTCTCATTTCTTTGACGGCACAGCAACACTGCTTGCCCACTTTCCATCTGGGCATTTGTTCATTTTACTCAGCTAATGACTCTAGGTTATGAATGCTACTTTTTTTTTTTTTTGAGACAGAGTCTCACTCTGTTGCTTAGGCTAGAGTGCCATGGCATCATCGTAGCTCATAGCAACCTCAAATTCCTGGGCTCAAGGGATGCTCCTGTCTCAGCCTCCCAAGTAGCTGGGATTACAGGTGTGAGCCACTATGGCCGGCTAATTTTTTCTATTTTGTTTAGTTTCTCAGCTAATTTCTTTCTATTTTTAGTAGAGATAGGAGTCTCGCTTTTTTTTTTTCTTTTTCTTTTTTTGAGACAGAGTCTCACTCTGTTTTCCAGGCTAGAGTGCCATGGCGTCAGCCTAGCTCACAGCAACCTCCAACTCCTGGGCTTGAGCAATCCTCCTGCCTCAGCCTCCCGAGTAGCTGGGACTATAGGCATGCGTCACCATGCCTGGCTAATTTTTTCTATATATTTTTAGTTGTCCAGCTAATTTCTTTCTATTTTTAGTAAAGACAGGGTCTCACTCTTGCTCAGACTGGTCTGGAACTCCTGAGCTCAAGCAATCCTCCCGGCTTGGCCTCCCTGAGTGCTAGGATTACAGGCGTGAGCCACCGCGCCCAGCCTTTGAGTGCTACCAACTGCTTTTGAGAACTCTGTTGAGTCCATTGGTGAATCAATTTAAAAATGGTTAGGTTTCCATCTATGGTTAGACAGGTATGTGTTTCTAGCATCTGGATGGCTTTATAATTTTTAAAACCTCCAGTGGAAAAATTACCTATATGTTCTTAGCATCTTAACTTCTTTAAATATCTTTTTCTCTAAAAGCATTTGCAGTACTTTCACGGATCTATTGATTTTTCTCCTCAGCATTATCATCTAAAATATTTTTCCAAAGATTTTCCATAGATATATTTTGGCTTCACATCATCCATATTGATTATTTCAACCTAAAATAAATGTTTCTGTATTATACATTAATATTGGTTGTCTAAGTCACTCTTCATCTTGTTTATATTTCTAGCATGTACTCTTAACATTCTACCAAGGCAGGGACCCTTATAATAGACTTTATGAATTTCTGTACTATGAAAGACTGCTTCATACTAGGCATTTATCATCTATCTTATCTTATCTTTTCCCTTCTGTATTTTGTTGGGTATTCTCCTCGGTTCATAGATCACTGTCATCACTAGCCTTGCTTCATTTATTTGTTCTTTTTATGTTTTCATTTCCTATTCCCATTACATCCTCCTATAGGCAACTTTTTTTTTTTTTTTTTTTTTTTGATACAAGGTCTCACTCTATTGCCCTGGCTGGAGTGCTGTGGCATAATCATAGCTCACTGTGACTTTGAATTCCTGGGCTCAAGCAATCTTCCCACCTCCACCTCCCAAGTAGCTGGGACTACAGTGTGTGCACCATGCCCTGCTAAATTTTGGGAGGGATGTAGAGAGGTAGAGATGGTGATCTTGCTATGTTGCCTAGGCTGGTCTCAAACTCCTGGCTTCAAGGGATCTTCTATTTTGGTCTCCCAAAGTGCTAGCATTACAGGCATGAGCCACCACACCCAGCTGACAGCTCTTCTGATGTATTTGATGTGTACACTCCACAAGTATATGTTCCTGTAAAATCTGCAGTGCTGTTTTGTGTGCATATATATTTTCTTACTTTTTTTTTTCACTGACACTATCCTTTGAGAACTACCCATGTTTCTAGGTGTGCATCTAGTACATTGCTTCTAATCAATGTAGAATATTCTATAATGTGTACCCACCACATGTTGCCTATCCACTTCCCAGTGATGGACAGCCGGGTTCCCTCCAATTCCTTCCATTACAAACAAAGCTGTAATCAGCTTCCTGTGTCTGACCTCCACTTATGGATATGCAGGAGAATATCTTTGGGCTATATCCCAGGAGAGAGAATGCTGGATCGTGGGGACATCTATGTTGCTTTCCAGATGGCTCTACTAGTTAACACTCTCACCAGCAGTGCATGAGGTTTTGTAGACCCCATGTCCTTGTTAACACTTTCCATTAAGTAGATTTCAATTTTTTGCTAGTCTAATGGGTAGGAAGTGACATGTTGTTGTTGTCCTAATTTTCATTTCATTGTTACTAATGAATTTGAACATCTTTTTAGATGTTTGTTGGCTTTTTTGGGCTTTGTCTTTTGCAAACTATCTGTTTTTATCCTTTGGCTATTTTTATTTGAAAGTTCTATCTTTACCCAATTGATTTGATGGAGTTTCTTAGATATTCTAGAAAAGCAATCCCTTATCAATTTTAGACATTGTCAATATCTTCTTTCAATGTCTCCTTTTTCAAAAGAGTCCTTTGTTGAAGCAAATCTTTACTTTTAATGTAATTCAATTCACGAATGTTTGGGCCTTATGATTTATATTTGAAATTTTACTTAAGAAGTCGTGCCTTGCACCTAGCTCACAGAGACATTGTCCTATAGTATTTTCTACTAACTCTATAATTTAACCTTTATATTTATTGTTTTTAATCCACCTGGAGCCCATCTTTGTATAAGGTGTTAGTTTTCTATTTCTCCATACAGTGAGCCAGATACTTAATCCTCATTTGCCAAACAATGTGTTCATTCCCCCATTGAGCTGTAGTGTTATTTTTATTGTAGGTTAATTTTATGTGTGTGTGCATTTCTGTCTTAGGTTGGGTTTCCTGCAGAGAAAGACCTGTGATAAAGATGTGAATGCAAGTAGATCATTTGGGAGGTGATCCAAGATGCACTGGGAGAAGAATGGAGACGTAAAACAGGGAAGGAAAGAAATTCAATAAAGGGTATGTTAACAAGCAGGCCACTGTGAGTGACTGGGGCTAGGTCTGTCTGGGGAACTCTGGAAGATGGTGTAGGACTGTGGTCCTCAATCCCTGGGCTGTGGGCTGGTTCCGGTCCATGGCCTGTTAGGAACCCAGGCTGCATAGCAGGAGGTAAGCGGCAGGCAAGCAAGTGAAGCTTGATCTGTATTTACAACCACTCCCCATTGCTCACATCACCGTCTGAGCTCTGCCTCCTGTCAGATCACCAGTGGCATTAGATTTTCCATTATGGTGAGTTGTATAATTATTTCCTTATATATTACAATGTAATAATAATAGAAATAAAGTGCACAATAAATGTAATGCACTTGAATCATCCCAAAACCATCCCCCACTCCCCACCCTGCCAGGTCTGTGGAAAAATTGTCTTCCATGGTCCCTGGTGCCAAAAAGGTTGGGGACCACTGGGTAGAACTCACTTCAGAGTTATCCTGAGGGGCAAAGCAGCTAAAGTATTTAGCCATAGCCTACAAATTTTTACTTAGAAGGTTTTTGTCATTCAGTTCTAACTATTCAGTAATTTCTTTTTTAGCACAAGGTTATTTACCAAAATGTTCTTTATTTTTCAAAAAGAAAGGCTATTTAGGTTATACCTTTGTTATTAATTTCTAACTTTATTGCATTATAATTGGAAAACATTGGAAATGACATTTTCCTAATTTATGGAATCTTCCTTTCTGTTCTACTAGTATGGGGTTTAAGAAAATATTTTTAACAGCTCAAATTTATTAATTGTATGGTTAGATGTTTGACACATCTACTTATGAGTTATCTGCTTCTGCTATCGGTTTTTGAGAGAGGTATAATAAAATCTCTAATACAATTGTTGATTGACCTATTTTTCTCTGAAGTTCTATCAGTTGTTAAAGAAATTTTGAGGTTGCATTGTTAGTGTATATTATAGATGGCTGTATCTTCTTGATCTGTTGCTCTTTTATCAGCATATAAAATCGCCATTTATCTATGATAAGGGTTTGTCCATTTGAATTCTACTTTATCAGACTGCTACTCCAATTTTCCTTTAGTTCATATTTCCTTGATATATCATTTTCGATCCTTTTATACCCAGTCTTTTTTGTTTTGTTTTGTTTTCTGTTGTAAGTGTGACTCTTACAAACACTATATTTCTGGATCTTTTTTAAAAAAATACAATCTTAAAATCCCTATCTTTTAAGTGGTATATTTTAGTACCTTCACATTTATTTTAATTACTCTATTATTATGACTTATTTCTGATTTCTTTATCATTTGTTATATTCTTTCTTTCTTTTTTTTTTTTTGTTTTTTGATACAGAGTCTCACTTTGTTGCCCAGGCTATAGTGAGTGCTGTGGCGTCAGCCTAGCCCACAGCAATCTCAATCTCCTGGGCTCAAGGGATCCTCCTGCCTCAGCCTCCCGAGTAGCTGGGACTACAGGCATGCACACCATGCCCGGCTAATTTTTTGTATCTTTTTAGTTGGTCAATTAATTTCTTTCTATTTTTAGTAGAGACGGGGTCTCTCTCAGGCTGGTTTCGAACTCCTGACCTCAAGCAATCCGCTGGCCTCGGCCTCCCAGAATGCTAGGATTATAGGCGTGAGCCACCGCACCCGGCCGATATATTCTTTCTTTTAATCTTTCATTCTTTTAGTTAATAAAAATAACAATTCTGAATATTAGTGTATCAGAATATTGGTAAAATCATAGTTGTCTGAAGGCTCAATTATATTATTTCATTTTACCATAATAATTTCAAAGAAGAGTAGCATGTCCACTAATTTGTCTGATAATAATTCCTTACCTCATTCCACAATTGTAGTTCTTGTTCTGGCCATAATTCTTGAGGTAATATCGGAGCACCTAAAAATAAAGTTATATCCACACTTTAGTTTTATAGTATTTCTTCCAAAATTATTAATAAATCTCTCTATATAATTCCTTTTCAGATGCTATTTTTCATTTTTCACTGTACATGACTGCCCACATATTTCAATAAGATATATCAGCATTTGACTTAGTATAAGGAGACATAATTATTAAATCAACCTTAATAAAATTACAAAGAAATTACTCTCAAGAATGAATTACTTATTGTGTCTAACTAAAAACTTGTACATGAATGTTCATGGCAGCATTTATTCATGCTAGCCCAAAAGTAGAAACAATCCAAATGTCCATGAACTGCTAAATAAACAAAATGTAGTATATCCACACAATGTATATCCACACAATGCAATACTATTCAGCCATAAAAATGAATGAACTAACAACATATGCCACAACATGAACCTCAGAAATATTATGCTAAGTCAAATATGCCAGATGCAAAACACCAAATATTGTATAACTCCATGTATATGAAATATACAGAAAAGGCAAATCTATAATGATAGAAAGATTAGTGGCTGCTTGGGATAGGAATGAGGATTGATTGCAAATGGACATAACAGATCTTTTGGGAATAATGGAAATGTTCCAAGATAGTATTTCTGTGATAGCTGCACAACTCTTTAAGTCTACTAAAAAAAAATCACTGAATTGTAGACTTAAAACAGGTCAATTTTATGGTATGCAAACTATATTGGGACGAAAGTCTTTTAAAAAAGAATTACTTTAAGTAAAATCTGCAAGAAAATAAAAATTGAAGCCATTATTTAATGATGATTATATGGTAGGCAGGAGGCACAAATTCCCAGGTGGATTTTCATTCTGCTTCCTCTAAAACAAATCATTCAGAAATGAAAGGCAAGTAGGTTACTTTAAGTAAACAATCTGGAAATGTGGAAACAGTAATAGTTGTCATGATTATTTTATATTCTCCCTTAAAAGTGGCTCTAAAAGTAGCCTGATGATTCATACAACTAGTTAAACAAATCAAACTTCATAAGCATGATGAATTTTTAAGTTGCTGGCACTGATACCCTGGGTTTTGGATATGGACAAGTATGCTATATGTGACTTACATTGTTTGGGTACCTTGGCTTTTGATGTTATGTTTTGATGTTCAAGCAGCAGGTACATGACTTAATTTTATGCAATAAGCTAATGTAAGTGTAGAAAACTTATTCCAAGTCATATGTGTGTACACAAATGCCTTTATAAAATACACACATACAGCCATTAAAATAGTTATACAGGGACAATGCAATTTAAAACCCTCCTGCTTATAGATTGCCAGATCTAATTCTCTTAGTCTTTTTCAATGATGACATAATTTATTTGCTTAACAGTAAAACCTCCAGATTATATTAAGGATATGACACTGAATTAAGAATAACAAGCAACAGGCTAACAGGTCTTCTGGACTATAACCACCGATGGGAACTAAATCTCAAACGCTATTTTGAAGAAGTGTAGAGTAAATAATTTTGGCAACCTGTAAACATCTCTATGCAGTGTGTAGTTTATATAACAGCACCAAACCCTTTTTAAAATCCAAGCTTTCCTTCCTCCTGCCTTATGGTACTGATACAGTCTCTCATTCTTAATTGGAAGCACTTTAGAGCCAAGGTCAAAGGTTTTGTTTTCCAGACTAGATATATATAAAGGGAAAAGCAAGCTTTTGTTATTACCTTATTTAGATGAAGAAAAAATACAAACCTTAATGGAAACTTGTCCATGTGTTTTATGGACAAGGGGGGAAAGTACATTTAAATATATAAGCAAAAAAATTAATTAGCCTAATAAAAATTCTGTCCCTAAATTTAATTTGGTGGACTAAGCTCTTTGTTTAGTAAAATGATATGTGTGTGTTTGATCCATCTTTAAACATTTTTAAGGTTTATTTGAGAATCCCCTCTCACTGGACAACTATTTCAAGGTAGGTAAACAATCTTCACTTCTCAATTATATATTTCTCACTCTACCACAAACATATCCCAAAGTCACAGTTGCCAGGCGGATCATACTCTGAGCTCATTTTATTTTCAGGAAGGGATAAAGCTATGCTTCTCAAATTTTCACATAAAGTACCTGGTGATCCTAAATGAGATTCTATTCAACAGGGCATTCCTGTTTAAAAACACAATTTTATATTTGTATACTCTTGACCAATCCATACCCCCCAAGAAAACATGGAAGCTTCCACAAGTACACTGCATGCAGCCACACTGCCTCATAAGGACCACGGAGAGCTTGTCTCCTGCCATGTCCCAAGCTCGTGGGAGGCACTTAGAAATTGCCGTTATGCCTAACTTAGCCCCAGGCACTTATATGAAGTTAAAAAGGGGTACTCTGTGGCCCTTCCACAAAACATGTAAACACAGTCTCAGAGTAAAGAAGCCAGAGAAGCCAAAATGAAAACTATTTTTCTACAATTTACAGAAAACCACTAATATCCTATGTCTGAACCCAAACGTTAGGAGAGAATTTTTTTTTCTTTTGCCTATTTGTTAACTAGAGTTGATGTGATTTTCCTCCCAAGATACCTTGCATGTGCACTTTATACTATCAAAGACCAATACTGTACTTGGACTACTTTCCATGTTCTCAGAGTCAGTGCCACTATTGTCTACATCATAAAAACTGTACTATTTTTGATGTTTCATCGAGATAATATACTTCAGTACTAGCTAGTAAAGTAAAATCACCAGTCTTTTTTTTAAATCATCAGTCTTATACAGTACACTTTGATGCAAATAATATAGACAACCTATACATCTATAAATACACTATGTATGAGAGAAAGAAAGACCTGATTATTCTAAAAGTGGTGTCAATTTTCTTTTTCTCATTGCTGGTAGGTATTTCATTATAGGGTTGGGACTTGAGAAATCACTAGTGAAATCACACATTACTAGTGACTGAATGTTAAGAATTATTCTATGAGCAAGGAGCCAGTTGATCACTTATTGTCACAGGCAAAATCAAGTGACAGATTGTTGCAGATATCCAAAATGTGTTCCTCTTATAGGAAATTTCTTTATTTTGATAATATTCTCTGAATAGTAAACTGTTTCCAATCTGTGGGTGACCCTTTATCTTCTCATTGTTACTGTATGCTCTGCTAATTCACTTTTTGCCAAGGATGCTGTACTTGTTGACCCTTATTTTCCTCTGGTGTTGTGACATTTGTTTTGTTTTTAGATACATCCAGTTGCATCTTGCATAAGGATTGATTTTGGTAGATTTATCTCCAAGTTTGGCTTACATATATCATGCTTTCCCCCAGTGCCATCTTTAGGGACTCATGACTAGGGCAGATCACACTGTATATTCACCCTCTCCCCTTTCCACCACATTTTTAAAGAGCCAAAATTAGTTTTTTAGTATTAAAAGCAGGTCTGAAGGGGAATGAAAACACAAAAGGGCAGTCTTGGGGGTTTCTGGGTAGTGAAGGAGGCATCTTATCCTTTTGCTTGAAAAATATTGGGGTTATTTATGAAACGATTGGCCAGCCAGCAAAAATGCCCCTTTGGAAATAAATCCCAAGACTCATCTTTTTCAGGAACCTGTTACTGCCTTCCATAATTACTGCTCACCCACCAGCAGCCTGAAAATCTGCTCCCCTCCCCCTAAAGGCAGTTGCTATCTCCCACTGATGCCAAAATCACTGCTAGCATATAGCATGTTACATGCATGGAAAGCGTATTTTTTTTATATAGCAAAGTCACTTTTCAAACTGTGCTATTCTACTTCCTTAAGAAGGTAAAGATTACCATCCTAATTTCACCAATAACAAATTTAAAATTGAAAAGGATAAACATTTACCTTGCTTAAGTCCACATAGCACTACTGGCTATGTGGAAAAGGTTTAGGTCTGTGAGCTTCTGATTGCTTAGATTTCAAAGCCAAATGACCTCGCTTTTCAGGTAAAGAACATCCCCCCCCCACACACACACACACACATCTCCAATGCTTTAGGAAAGGAGAAAATCAAAACAATGAAAGGAGACCAATAAAAATAAATAGATTAGGAAAAGAATAATAGCCTCCATTTCTCCACCTCTAATTGAGGGCTGGGCTCTGTAGAGCCTAGGGCTCTAAAAGATCCCTGCAGCTGTGATGTTAAGTCACCAGGTCCTGACAGTCTGCCCACCTTTACCTCACTGACAGGAGAGCAGAGGGAAGCTAAGAGAACCAGCTGCCTAACTAGAGCATTCACGGCTGTAGCAGGGCGGTGGCTGGCACTGGAGGGCCCCCTGGCTCAGAGCTTGGGGGATGAATGATGGTCCCCCAAGGTACCCGGACAGGTAACCTGTAACCTTTAGGGAACCTAGGGAAGTGATCTCCTGGCTGGAACGTTTGCGCTCTGTTCTGCCATGTCTCCAAAGCTACAGACCTATCTCCCTGACCTTGCTTTTCCTATTTCTTCCTCTAAACCAAACTCAGTAAGTCCCCATTGTTACCCAGTCACGTATGCCTTCACTGGCGTTAGCTGTAGCACTGCCTGAACGAAAGCCGGGCTTGCACACTTGCCTCTCCAACTTTGCGTGATGAGAAGGTCTCTATTCCTTTTCCTGATTTGGTGCCTGAAAACCTAAAAGACACAGAGCGCACTCTTTCCCCTGCTAAGGGGCTGGCATGGTGACTGTTTCACTGCTCAGGATTATCCGGAGCGCTCTCCAAGTTCACATCGCATCCGCAGATGAGAAAGTATCAAACTCACTCGCTTTGTTGCACCAACAAGCCCTCCAATAAACTGCAATGCAAGGGAAAGCACTTGAATATTCACTATTTTAATTCCCGTTACCCACGGGCCCGAGCATGAGGGAGCCCCGCAAGTCCTCACCAACCGCAGCGACCCCCCGTCCCCCCGCAGAGTCTCCGCCACCGCCGCGCCGCGGGCTTTCCTGGGTCGGCGACCCGCGCCGGTTGTCAAGGGCAAGAACCACGGAACCCGCGGCGCGAGGGGAAGGAAG